TGGTGTGGGAGATGGAAGGAGCATCATCTGACCAGCTTTCTGCCAGGAGAATAAATCCTTCCATTCGCCCCCTCCTTTCAGTCAGAACTGAAGAAGCTTCTCAGATGAGAAGCGAAACCTCTTCAAAGAAAAACCAGAAAGTCTAGTTGCCTCTTGAAAAAGCACCTTTGGGACATCCATGACCTTGGATGACTGAGAATCTTCACACACATAAAGTTTTATAGTTTTTGAATTCTCCCAAATGAATGCATTTCTCCCCCAAACTAATGATGTGATCAACTACAGGACATTTTGATGGGAATATTTTGCATGTGTCTGTCATGAACTGAAGCTGGAAGATAAGACATTCTTTTTCATAGGTATATTTTTTGTTTGTTTGTGGTCACAACAGACCAGACTATTCTTCTTCTGTTTCTTGCACATTTTCTTAGAAAGGCAACCCATGGCTCTGGAGCCGCATGTGGCTCTTTCATCCCTCTGCTGCGGCTCCCTGTTGCTGATCGGCTCCACAATTGATAGGGCTTTCGGTTAGGACAGGTAGCGGAAAAAGGATGCCGAGCTAGGAGGCGACTCTATAGTGGGGGAACCGGACTTCCAGCCGGCTCCAGAATTGGACAGGGAGCTTCCGGTTAGGCCCCCCACATCCCGTTTTGGGCCTGGAAAGCCGCCTGCACCAACCTGGAAGCCAAAACGGGGCAAGGGGGCGCTGTGCGAGGTCCCTCACATCCCATTTTGGGCCTGGAAAGCTTCCTGCACCAACCTGGGGCGGGGGGGGGGGAGCCCATGTGCGGGGGACACACGCGCATGCACGGAGAATGCACATACATGCACGGGGCCCTCGCATTGCATTTTGGGGGTTCAGGCACACACATGTGCATTTGCGTGCTTTGGGCACTCGGCGCCAAAAGGTGAACCATCACTGCTGTTGAGCAACGTGGCCATCTTACATTTACCCAGAGGTAGGCTGCTGCCGTCCTATATCGCCGGGTTTTTTTGAAGCCACGCGCATGCTTGGAAGCGCACGCTCCCATTTTCGGTGCTGGGTGAACCGGTTGTTAAAACCAGCAGAAACCCACCCCTGCATTTTTTTTTTTTAATTTGATTTATATGCCGCCCTTCTCCGGAGACTCAGGGCGGCTTACAATGCGTTAAGCAATAGCCTTCATACTTTTTGTATATTTATACAAAGTCAGCTTATTGCCCCCACAAACTGGGTCCTCATTTCACCTACCTTAGAAAGGATGGAAGGCTGAGTCAACCTTGAGCCTGGTGAGATTCGATCTTACTTTAATTGCAGACAGCTAGTGTTAAATTACAGTGCTTAGTCTGCTGAGCTATCCAGGCTCCTATTTACCTCTTCCAGCCCTTATCACGCTTGCTGTTTTTGATTTTTTTTCCTTCTATTTCTTCTTCTGCAGAAGGCCATCAACATCACTTTGGATCATAGGTGCCGGATCTTCCAAAACCTTAACGGCGCTCTAGGTGAGAATCCGTGCAAAGGAAATCCTGCGTCCGAAATAAACCGTTGGCCAATTTAAGGGTGATTCTTCCAGTCTTGCTAGAGAGCTGCAAAGAGAAGCTTCACGGGACTTATCGCTGCCTGGGGGCAGTGGTGAAATCTGAACCAGTTTGCTACCAGTTCGCTGGCTGTGCCTGCGCACTGCATGCCAAGCGTGCGCTATGCGCGAGCATGTGCAGTGCGCATCAAATGTGCACGGCATGCACAATATGCGCCAAAAGGAGGCTTGGGAAGGTAAGTAGAACAGCGAGAGGGGGAATCAGCTGTGGCGCGCGAGCTTGGGAACCTTTTTAAAAACTTTTTTAAAGCAGTTTTTTACTACCGGTTATCCAGAAGAACTGGTAGTAAAAAATTCTTTTAAAAAGTTTTTTAAAAGGTTCCCAAGCTCGTGCGCCATAGCTGTGATCGTCGGAACCTTTTTTTTTTTACTTTTTTTTACTACCGGTTCAGGTGAACCGGCCCGAACCGGTAGCATTTCACTCTTGCCTGGGAGGTATCTGGGTAGATCCCCGAGGCCTTTGACCTCTGCTTGTGCAGTTTGCCAAGCAAATCCAGTTGGAGTCAAACTACAACTTTCATGTAAAAAAAGGGAGCTCAGGCAGCAGATTGCACAAAAAAAAAAAAAACCACGGCAGCTATAAGCGTGTTTTACCACTGATAGAAGATTTGGGATGACTCTCCTTCTGTCCCTTAGTTGCATCTCCCCTTCCTCCTGTTGCATGGTTTATTTTACTATCTTCTATTTCTTGTCTCGGGGAAGATACCCTCAAAGATTTCATTAAGACTTTTTTAAAAAAAAATCAAAGTGGGTGGATTGCTCCTATTGCGTCGGGTGGGAAATAGCAATAGCGCTTAGACTTATATACCGCTTTACAGTGCTTTTACAGCCCTCTCTAAGCGGTTTACAGAGTCAGCATTTTCGTCCCCCCCAACAATCTGGCTCCTCATTTTACCATCCTCGGAAGGACAGAAGACTGAGTCAAGCTTGAGCCAGTCAGGATTGAACTGCTGGCTGTGGGCAAAGTTAGCCTGCAATACTGCGTTCTAACCACAGGGGGGGAGGGAGGGCGGGAAGGAAGGAAGGAAGGACGCTTAGACTTATATACCGCTTCACAGTGCTTTTACAGCCTTCTCTAAGTGGTTTACAGAGTCAGCCTCTTTCCCCCAACAATCTGGGTCCTTGTTTTACCCACCTTAGAAGGACAGAAGGCTGAGTCAACCTTGAGCCTGGTGAGATTCGAACTGCCAAATTGCAGGCAGCGGCAAGGCAGCAGAAGTTGTTCTGTCCCCGTACCCCACATGCACCCCCACAGATGGCCCGGAGTTAGTAAGCCACACAACAAAACTCTTTGAAGATAAAGCTGGCAGCAACCCAGTGGCTAGCTGCCAATTCAGACTTTACTCACACAAAACAAAGATTAAACTGCCAGCATTCCGATAAAACAGGCAGAGTGTCAACAATACAAGGATTAATCCAAATGCAGTCCGATAAAGCAGCAAAGTCCAGTAACACAGAGATCATGGAGTATTTCCAGTTTTTGCTCGTCACAAACTGAACGGCCACCACACCCACATTTATACCCTGTGGGGTGTGGTCCAGTGACTCAGCTAATCTCTGGCACGCCTTCCCCTCTGTTGTGCATGCTTCTCCCTGCGCCTCTGTCCCGGGTCCAGCCAGCACTTATCTTCTTCATCGCTGTCCACCTGTGGCTGCGGGGACGTGCTTGGCTCTGAGCCTATCGTTTGGCCTTTGGTGTCCTCCGGAGGCATTGCCAGAGAGGAGGATCCTGGAGAGGGAGGCCTTGCCCACTCCTCTCCCTCACTCTCAGAGTCTGCATCTATTGATAACCCAAGCTCAGGCAACGGAGCCACAACAGAAGTAGCCTGCAGTACTGCACTCTAACCACTGCACCACCGTGGCTCATAAGGTTATATCTTGGATTGGATTGGGTGGGGGGGCAGTTTCTAAGGACATGGCTACTTTGAAAAGCGCTGAATGGCATCCATTCTACTTAGCCAGCTAGCAAAAGAAGACTGCGATTTCTCCAAGACGATACCTTACTAGAGCAATAAATGATCAGAGACAAAAGGAAGCGGAATCCGGCGGATCGGCGCAAAAAAACTTTACACTTAAGTATTCTTTTTCCCCCTGGCAGCCTCCTTACTATTGGCCGGCGTCCAATTAGCAATGCTTATTTTGTTTTGGGAAGGGAGATTGGTCGTGCCTTCTCCATCTCTGCATTATATTCACGGCCTTGAGCTCTCCTTTCTTGCCCAGCACAGTGCCGATCCCAGACCGTCCCCCCTTTCATCTTCCCGCATTCCTATTCTTCCTCCCTCCCCCTTAGGTGCCAGTGTCAGGCTGGCAGCTGGTGAGGCGAAGCAAGTTGAATGGCAGGCATGATAAGCTGGTCTATCTACTTTATTCATGACCCCCCAAACCATTATCTCCCCTGGCATATATGTGAAAGAACCTTTTGTTGTTGTTGTTGTTGTTCTTGTTTCATTCTTCTTCCTCTGCTTTTTTGCTTCCGAAGACGAGGTGGCTCTCAAATTCGAAAACGGCCAGGTGAGAGTGCGGAATCTGGCCTTTGATACCCTCCCTGTTGTGATTCATGGAAACGGACCCACCAAGGTATGCCAAATCCCGACTTCTATTCTATTCTATTCTATTCTATTCTATTCTACTCTATTCTACTCTATTCTGCATTTCAATTCTATTCTATTCTATTCTACTCTACTCTACTCTACTCTATTCTACTCTATTCTGCATTTCAATTCAATTCTATTCTATTCTATTCTATTCTATTCTATTCTACTCTATTCTACTCTATTCTGCATTTCAATTCTATTCTATTCTATTCTATTCTATTCTATTCTATTCTATTCTAACATTCCATTCCATTGCATTGCATTCCGTATTTTCTATTCTATTCTAGTCTAGTCTAGTCTAGTCTAGTCTAGTCTAGTCTAGTCTAGTCTAGTCTAGTCTAGTCAAGTCTATTCTACTCTATTCTGCATTTTCTATTCTATTCTATTCTAATCTATTCTACTCTATTCTATTCTATTTGACTCTAAAACAGGTACCTAGTTTCCACAATTTATACCTTTCCATATTTCTCCACCTAATTTAACCATTGTTTAGTTTTCTTTCCCCCTCTTTTTTTTTCTTTTTCCCTTTTCTCCTTCAACCATTTCTCCGAAACTAAGTAATAATCTGTTTCATCTTTTTCTTGTATCTCCTTTGTGAGCTTATCCATTTCAGCACATTCCATAATTTTTCTAATCACCTTGTCTTCTCATGACAGTTGCTCTTTAAACATTTTGATTTTGATCGAGTTGATTTAAATCAAGCCTTTTTACTAGTGGTTTAAATCGTGGTTTAAATCGACTTGATTTCAGTCAAATCCACCCTGCTGACACCAAAAATGACTTGATGTGAGCCTGCTATCAGCTTGTTCTCTTTTCATTTCAGAGCATCTGGCCTCTTTTGGTGGAAAACAACATCTCCCCTAACACCATGGTTGCTGTGTTGCATCACTTTGTCCAAGAGGCCCAGAACAGAAAGGCCAACACACAACGACGCCTTTTTGCCCTCCACGCGGCTGGATTGTATTTTTTATTAGTTGAAATTCCTGGTAGGTCTGTGAACTGCTTGTGTTGTGCTTGTGTTGTGCTTTGACCCGTGTTTGGCATGGACATGTGCATTGAAACGTAGCTCCATCGATGGTCGCAGTAACTCTGTCTGTGACGATTAGGTATGAACTTCAAGCAATCAACCAAGGGAGCTCGTCCAGTAATGGAGTTTCTCCTCACTTTCTTCCGGACTGTCCTCAGGACCCATAAACCTGATTTAGACCAGGGATTTTCAATCTGATTTAGGTTTAGACCAACATTTCTCAATCTTAGCAACCTGAAGATGTGTAGACTTCAATTCCCAGAATTCCTCAACCCGCATGGCTGGCTGGGGAATTCTGGGAATTGAAGTCCACGCATCTTCAAGATGCTGAGGGTGACAAACATGGCTTTAGACACATGTGGAGCGCGTGTTGTGGCCCTCCAGCGGAGTTGGTGGCAGACTCAGACAGTGAGGAGGTTGGGGAGGAACATGGGTCAGTCCTGGAGTCTGGGGAAGGCTCTGATGAGGGCTCTGCGTTGGAGGCAGAGAGGGGGCCAGGGCCATCTGACAGCTGTTAGCTGCCTTCGGAGTTGGACATCAATGGGGCAGAAGAACAGCTGGAGCCTGTTCCCAATGTGCGCATGCGCAGAGCTGCCAAGAGAAGGGAACAGTTAAGAAACAAGAGTCGACTCAGGAGTAAAGCCACAGATGGACGATGAATGGCCCCTCCCAGAGGGAATAAAAGAGGAATGAAAGGGGAGTGAGGTTTGCAGGAGACAATTAGTTCGTTTAATTGGTTCATGACTCCTTGCCAAGTTTTGAAGATATCGGCCTGACAGCTCTCCAAGCCAGATAAGGTCTGTGACTGTAAATTCTCCCTTGAAAGACTTTGCTGGATGTGAATGAGAAGAATTCACAGTAACTTAATAAAAAAGGGGTTTTTGTTGGGACAAGGAGTCTGCTTCATTCTCTTGGGAAGCCTAGTGTGTAGAACAGCGTAGTAAAAGTGTAGTGTGTAGAACAGTGTATAGGCCAGTCTTAGAAAAGCAAAATCTGACTAGCAACATGTGAACTTTGTAAAGCTTCCTTAAAGTCATCCATTCATTAGGATCAGAAGTGAAGAACAATGTCAGTCCTGTAAGGCGGAGAGATTGTAGCAAAACTAACAGTGGTGTTGTAACACCATCACACCAAGCGAAAGCTGTACTCAAATTCTCATCAATCTGCGGCGAATCATCTTGTCTCATCCTAATTTACCGAACAATCTTTGTGGGAAATAAAAGGTATGGAAGAAAGAGATTTGGGGAGGGAGAGGAGCTAGAAAGATAAGAAATCAAATAGAGGTATCTAGTGTTGTGGCCCGTTGGCGGCCAGCAGAGTCGGACAGTGAGGAGGTTGGGGAGGAACTTGGGCCAGTCCTGGGGGGTGGGGAAAGCTCAGACGAGGACTCTGCATCAGAGGCAGACAGGGAGATAGACAGCAGTGAGGCAGAGGAACAGCTGGAGCCCGTTCCCAGTATGCGCATGTGCAGAGCTGTCAGAAGACAAGAACAACTCAGAAAGCAGGGTCGACTCGGGAGTAAAGCCACACCTTGGAGGTGATTTCGCCCCTCCCATAGGAAATAAAAGAGGAGCGAACGGGGAGAGGGATTTTGCAAGAAACAATTTGTTCATTCTGTGACTGAGAGACTCTGTGCCAAGTTTGGCCTTTTCTTGCGGTTGGAAACAAGTTACGTGGCAGCTTGCCAAACGAGATAAGGTTTGTTGAGAAATATTCCTTGGAAAAACTGGACAAACCTTGCTGACTGAATGAAGGTAATTCACAGTCGTGTAAATAAAAGAGGTTTTGCCGGGATCAATTCCTGCCTCCTTTTTTGTTAAGGGAGGCTAGATCAGAACATCTGGGTTGTTAGGGAGGTAGCTGCAAGAAGGTTTCAAAACACCTGATAATATCATGTTATCAGTTATGTTTTTGGTGCTCCGTTAGCTGCAGGTGGTGTGGTATAAAAGTATGTTATCGTTCATATGCAAACGGTCTTTTTTGGCAGGCAGCATAGCCAACCAGATCTTACACCCAGTGATGTTCGAGAAATGTCTTCAAACCTTGTCTAAGTGTTGGCCAGAGGAGTTGGATTTGCCCAGAAAAAGGAAAAAAAACCAGACCAAAAGCTTGATGGGCGAGAGAAAGAAAGGGAAGCCGGCAAGAAATGAAAACATTCCGGTAAATAATAATAATAATCGTACATCTTAAGAAGGTACTTGGTTGATCCCTAGGACGCTGGCAGCAACCCATATCAACCATTAGCACCAGTCAATGGTATTTGTGATGCATTTCTGAATGTTCAGTTGACTGAGTTTCATGTTTAATGAATAAAGTAAATAATAATAACAATTTAATAATAATAACATTTTAATATTCCTAATCAAAAGCATTCTATTTTGTCTGCTTTTCCGGCTGCTTAGTTGATTCGTCCTTTTGGTGTTTTCTGGTGTTCAGTAGAGCAGTTGAAGGCCAGGCCTTCTAGATCAGGGGTGTCAAACTCCATTTTGTTGAGGGCCGCATCAGGATGGTGTTGGCCCTGGGGGGGAATGGGCGTGGCCAGGTCGACGTCACTCATGTCGGGGGCACCTGTGGTGGCCAAGTGCTAAGGCAGAACTTCCTTCAGACCCTCCCTCACTCTCATTATAATTCCTTCCTTCCTTCCTTCCTTCCTTCCTTCCTTCCTTCCTTCCTTCCTTATTTCCTTTGTTTCCTTCCTTTGTTTCCTTCTTTTTCTTTCCCTCCTCATTCTTCTTTCTTCCCCTCTTTCCTTGTTTTTCCTTCCTTGCTCTCTTCCCATCTTCCCTCCTTTGTCTTTCCTCTTTCCCTTTCTCCTTTCCTGTCCCTTCTTGCATGCTCAAATGCAAAAGGGGAAAACATTTCTCCTTTTGTTTTTAGTTTGGTTTGCTAGCCCTCTGCCAGAGAACAGAGCTCTGTTTTTGCCGGCAGAGCCGCCTCTGGCCGGGCCTTTGCCGTCTCCAGGGTGGCCCCGTGGGCCGGATCTGGCACCCCAGGCTTTGAGTTTGACACCCCTGTTCTAAATCAATCATCCCCAATTTTTGGGGCACAAGGGACCAGTTTGGCAGAAAACAATTTTTTCACAGATTGGGGGTGTGGGGTTTTGCGCAGTACCAAGATCTCACGTACGCACAGATGACATTTTGCTTGCTTGCTTGCACGGCTCTGTTCCTAACAGGCTGTGGACTGGTACCAGGAAAGTGCAATTTCCGAATCTTGCTTAACCAATCCATCGTCTTTTTCTTGCCATTCTAGATGGAAGACATCTTTGAAGAGGAAGACATTCAAGAAGAGAACGTTTACTTTTCCGCCAGGGAGCTGCTCGAAATTCGCGAGGCCCTCTTCCTCCTGCTGCAAAACCTCCTGAGGCTTTTTTCCAAGATTTCCCTGAAAGAGAGGCCCCAGTGCGTGCAGACCTGTATTCAGGTGACTGCGATCTCTTCGCTAAAGTGGCAGGATGCCCCCTATATGCTAGGGTGGCTGGTCCCCGACTTACGACCAAAATTGGGAACAGGATTTCCATTGCTGAGCAAGGGGGTTGTTAAGGGTAGACCTGATTTTAAGACTTCGCTCTCAGGGTTCTGACCCGATACTCTAATTAAATCATGAGCCTCGAGCCAAGCTTCAAAAGAAATCCAGTTATTTATTAGGAGCTTCATGTCAGCACGTTCCAAGTGAAGTCAACTCTGACCTCTGTTCCCCCCACCCCACCCCCAAGGTGTGTCATCAGTCACATTCTCCAACGAAGAAGCAATTTCGCAGGTTGTAGAGATCACTCCCCTCCAGCCATTGTGGGTTACTGCGGAGACGGCCTTTACAGAGATATGGCTGGAATGTGCTTTTGTTTTGACTGCTGTGCTGCAGCTGCAGAGTTCGTTCTCCCATCCCGTTTGCCTATGGCAACTCGAGAGCAGGCCAGGGATGCTTTGCGAGTTGATACTCCTTTGCCACGCTTGTTAAGCAAATCACTGCGTTGTTAAGTGAATTGAGAGGTTGTTAAGCGAACCTGGCTTCCCCCGTTGACTTTGCTTGGGACTGGGAAGGACATAAAAGTGGTAATCACCTGACCCCGTTGTAAATACCTGTTGCCAAGCACCTGAATTTTGATCACATGACGGCAGGGAGTCCGTCATGGCCGTAAGTGCAAGAACTGGTTGCAAGACAATTTTCCCGTTGTTAACTTCAAATGGTCACTAAACGAATGACAGTAAGTCAAAGATTACCTGTAATCAGATCAGTGTTTTTTTTAACACACTTGGCAACTGCAAGATATCTGGACTTCAACTCCCAGAATTCCCCAGCTTTATCATCCTATAGTATTTGTCAGGATAAGGGACCGTCAGTATGACAATTTCCCTCTTCTGTTTGACAATAGAAATTAAATCATCATCTTTTAATGACCCCACAATCCCTTGCGGGGTGGAGTCTGGGCAACTGAATGGAGACGAGTATTTACTGGCCAGATGCCTTTCCTGTCGCCAATGCGGAGTTTTGTTCAGCAGATATATTCTCATATGTGCCCAGGGAGAGAAATATCTGCCTCTACCTAGGATCAAACTCACAGCCTCCTGATTGTGAGGCGAGGGCTCCACCTCTAGGCCACCGCACAACTCTACAATAGAAACTCAATGAATGAATAAAATTCTGTTCTGTTCTTCTGTTATAAATAAAATGTATTTTGGTTTGTTTTCGCACAGATCTTTGTTAAGCTGACGAGCCTGGAGCCCTCTACACAAGACTTCAAGCCTGTAGACATGACGTGAGTTTTTTTTTTTTTGCTCTGGAGTCTCAAGATGGTATTGTGAGTTTGTGAAGCCCAACGGGTGTTGAGGGCGTGGAATCGAGCAACGCTAAATGTTCTTTCCCTGAAGATAATAGACTTAATCTGCAAAGATTTCACTCTGTGTCACGAAATCGATCGAACAGAGAACTTTTCCTTTGGCTGCAGGACTATTTCCAGAGCCAAGTATGTCTCCGAGCTTGCTTACTTCGGCCTACGACTGTTGTGTTCCCCACTTCACAGCCTAGGAGACAAGGTAAAGATTGTGTTCATCCATATTGTTCTTTGTTGGATTCTAAACGCATGGATCTATAAAACTCTCCTTTCTATGGAAGTGGCCACAGAAATCCAGCTGTCTCTTAATAGGAGATCTGGTGGCTTCTCCTCCTCATTTTCTTCTTCTTTTCCTCCTTTTCCTCTTCTTCCTCCTCCTCCTCTCCTCCTCCTCCTCCTCATTTTCTTCTCTTCTTCATCTTCTTCCTCCTCCTCTCCTTCTCCTCCTCCTCCTCCTCATTTTCTTCTCCTCTTCTTCTTCTTCTTCCTCCTCCTCTCCTTCTCCTCCTCCTCTTCTTCCTCTTCTCATTTTCTTCTTCTCCTCTTCTTCCTCTTGTTCTCCTTCTCCTCCTCTTCCTCCTCCTCCACCGATATGGATCCGCACGTCACCTGTGGCACGCGTGCCATAGGTTCGCCATCACGGATCTATTCCCACCCACCCCAAATCTGATGTCTAGGATTATCAGGGAAGCAGGTATGTGGTAATGATTTATTTTATTTTTTTTTTGGCCAATTTTTTTCAATCTCTTTCCAAAGCCAAAACTCCTACCATCACTTCTTTGGTTTTCCTGCTAGATGGAGCTTTAATACTGCTTCGCAGGCTTGGCTGGTGGGTGTTTTACAAACAGGGAAACAATGCTAATTTTCCAGAAGCATTTTTTTTGTGACCTTTTGACTTCAACAACCCTTCCAAAAATTATTTTCCTTGACTTCCTGCCCAAATCCCCCCCCCCAAAAAAAGGCAGAAATGCTGAAATAAATGCTTCCTTTTGAAAAATGTTGTCTTTATAAAAGATTGCTTTAATAACAGGGAGTGCATTGATTTAGGGATGGGGACATTGAACAAGAACAGAGCTAGAAATAATCGTGTTTTTCTCTTTTTCTCCTGGGTTTTTTTTTCCCCTCAAAAAAAGCAGAAGAGGTATAGCATGCCAGCTGAAACCTGTTCTACAGAGCTTTCTAAAATAGGCTAAATAAAGCAGATAGTATGATTTGTCCTCTGCCTGTATCTCAATAAAGTCTCAATCATTCGGGCCAAAGGGGTTTAAATGTAGAAGGTGACTCTTTAACTGAGAAAAGTGGAACTTTTGTTGTTGTTAGTCACGAAGTCGTGTCCGACCCATCGCGACCCCATGGACAATGTTCCTCCAGGCCTTCCTGTCCTCTACCATCCTCTGGAGTCCATTGAAGCTCACACCGACTGCTTCAGTGACTCCATCCAGCCACCTCGTTCTCTGCCATCCCCTTCTTCTTTTGCCCTCAATTGTTCCCAGCATTAGGCTCTTCTCCAGTGAGTCCTTCCTTCTCATTAGGTGGCCAAAGCATTTGAGTTTCCTCTTCAGGATCTGGCCTTCTAAAGAGCAGTCAGGGTTGATCTCCTCTAGGACTGACCGGTTTGATCGCCTTGCAGTCCAAGGGACTCGCAGGAGTCTTCTCCAGTACCAGAGTTCAAAGGTTTCCATTCTTTGGCGCTCAACCTGGGACTTTTGTTACCTTTGTAAAAGGAATCCCCAGCTGTCTGTTCTCCCATTTTTTTCCCTTTCCCTTCCTTCCCTAGACTTTGCGCCAAGTGTTCTATCAACTTCTCAGGGTCATCCTGATGCTGCCAGGGAAAGAAGGCGGCGTCTCTCTCCCCATCCCTTCTCAGATCATCGATGCAAGGAAACTGGCCCTCAAGTTCCTCAGGTAAAACTCCACCTGCCTGTTTTCACTTCTTGCATCTGTGCAGAACTGCTTTTTGGGGAATGATGGAATAGAATAGAATAATGAATGGAATGAATAGAATAATGAATAGAATAGAATAATGAATGGAATGAATAGAATAATGAATAGAATAGAATAATGAATGGAATGGAATAGAATAATGAATGGAATGGAATAATGAATGGAATGGAATGGAATAGAATAGAATAGAATAATGAATGGAATGGAATGGAATAGAATAATGAATAGAATGGAATAATGAATGGAATGGAATAGAATAATGAATGGAATGGAATAAATGAATGGAATGGAATAGAATAGAATAGAATAGAATAATGAATGGAATAGAATAGAATGAATGGAATAGAATGGAATAAATAGAATAGAATAATGAATGGAATGGAATAGAATAGAATAATGAATAGAATAGAATAATGAATAATAGAATAATGAATAGAATAGAATAGAATAGAATAGAATAGAATAGAATAGAATAATGAATGGAATGGAATAGAATAGAATAATGAATGGAATAGAATAGAATGGAATAATGAATGGAATGGAATGGAATAATGAATGAATGAAATAATAATGAATGGAATGGAATAAATAGAATAGAATAGAATAATGAATGGAATGGAATGGAATGGAAAGGGACCTTGGAGGTCTTCTAGTCCAGCCCCCTGCTCTAGCAGGAGAACCTATACCATTTCAGATAAGTGACTGTTTAGTCTCTTCTTAAAGTGAGTTTGGCTCCGTCTTACGACTTTTCTCGCTGCCGTTGTTAGGTGAATCATTTCAGTTTGTTTAAGTTAGTAACATGGGTTGTTAAGGGAATCCGGCTTCCCCCCTTGACTTGGCTTGTCGGAAGGTCGCAAAACGGGGATTCGCACAAACCCCGGGGACGCCGCGGCCGTCATAAATATGAATCCGTTGACGAGCATCTGAATTTCGATCGCATGACCATGGGGATGCTACAGGATTGTCAGTGTGAAAAACGACCACTAAATGAACTGTCGTAAGTCGAGGACTACCTCTATTTGCATCTCTCCTATCTAGCTCTCTGACTGAAGAACTGAAAGAAGTTGCCTTCCCCGTACTGAGGATCTTGCTGCAGCATATTTGTGTCAAGGTGAGCTGTGTTCTTTACCTTTCTATCAACCTGTCCGTTTGGAGGGGGTGGGACAGGGATGGAGGAAAATTTTCCTGACAACGGCAGTCAACCGAGAACTGATGACTTGGAGTAAATGTTGGAGAAGTTTGAAGTTTTTTTTTTTTGGTAAATATTTTTTATTATTTTTCAAACATAAGCATAAAATATAACTTTCAAGAGCAAAAACTCGATCCGGTCATAGATGGTTACCACGCTTACATTTCTTTGACAGACTCCATTCACAATTTCCCACTGCATCTTTAACAGGTAAAAGTTCAAAACATAAGAAGAATAAATTTTAACATATATTCTAACATCCTTATCTATATAAATCTATTATATCAATACAATTTTAATTTCATATTTACTTTAGCTCATTTGTGTCTAAGTATCAATCCTGCTTATATCTGGTTTTTCTCCACATTGTCTTTATCATCTCTTTTACCATCAGTTGCAAAATACTTTTTAACAATATTCTAATCTCTTATTCTAATTATTAACCACAATTTTATCACCTCAAATCTTAATTTCAAATACAATACATCTCCATTTTTCTTACTATTTATACAACAAAATTCTAACTACTTTTCTTAGACTCTTGACCCATTCCATCAAATCTTGATATCTTAAATTTTATCATTACTTTTACACATTTCAAATTACACAGATTCATCCCTAAAATTTTAAGATTTTTCTTGGGCATCTTTTAAGTTTCTCTTCTGGCTATCTTTGCATCCTGAACTCGGGTCTTGATTTTAGAGTTGCCCTTTAATATATGTGAGGCAGCAAACTCCAAAAATGGGGGGGGGGGGAAATAACTCAGAACAGATCTCTGGTATTTGACATTTCCATTAGTGGGTCTTTTGATTTAAAAAAACCTCTGTCTCATCAACCCCTTTTATCATTCTGGCTCTGCCATTTGCATGGTTCATCTTTTCTCCACTGTACTAATCAGGGATTTGCATTTAAACTATTTTAATAATTAAATTGAAATATTAATTAGCATTAAAACGGAGATTCATTTGAGGTGACCATCTCCCTGGGATCTTCTTTCATGAATCAGTTGTAGCAGAAAACAGAAAAAAAATATATATACACAAATACTTAAGCATTGCATATATATATGTAACGCTTAAGTAATTCTTAAAGTAGGAAAAGGATATTGAAAATATATTTGAGAGTACTTGTATTAAGAGAAAGTTAAAGAAAAGGATGTACCAATTTAAAGAAAAACTGTTAAAAAGGATATTTATAAAAGAAAAAGAAATTCTATAAGGGTAGTTTGGAGGTAGGGATCTAAACGTAATACTGAAATTTAAAGTTTGTATGTTAAGCCAAAGACAAAGATGTATTAGAAAGTTTTGAATTAAAAATTAAAAAAAAAAAAGTTTAGTACTTAAAAAAGAAGGGTGTAAAAAGAGGTTTTTTTTTTTTTCCCTTTTCTTTTCCAGTAAGGTCAAAGATTTGAAAGACTACAATGAATTTTGTAAAGAAAAATAGTGACAGTTCACAAAGATTACTAGGTGCCAATAGAAATGCACATTATTTCCGTAGAAAGGAAGATAAAGCAGGAACGGTTCAATTGATTATTTTATTCCAAGAGGAAAATTTGTTTTCATTTGGATATCACTTCTGGAATTTGTGCTTGTGAAGACCAAAAAAAAATAAAAAATGAAACTTTGACTTTGGTTTTGTTGATTAGAAATATTTGGCGTTATAGGAATGGTTAGTTATATGTTAATGTGTAAAAGCAAAAAGTTGAGTTGGAGTGTTTTTATCTTGTACTGTGCTAAGAAGAGTTGGAAGTCAATGCCCCATTTTTTCTTTCTTTTTTTTTCTCTTTCCCTTTGTATCTCACACCCCCTTTTCCCCGCTCCTTTTCCTTCCCTTAATTTCCTATTTTTTCTTCTTCTTCTTCTTTGTATTTTATATAATTTAAAAAAAAAAACCTTAATTGAAAAAAAATAACATCTAGTAACCAGCTCTGTGTGGTATTCACTGCGATGGAACATCTCACTTCAGCGAAATTTGATCGCTCCCTTTATGCCTTTTCATTCCAGGTTCCGGATAAATCCGAATACCGGACCTACACAGCGTTGTCTTTGTCCCAGTTGCTTTACAAACTCCCTTGCGCTGAACATGCCAGATTCATTGCTTGGCTGTATGGATACTCCCGCAATAACAAGGTGAAGAAATGAACCCAATGAACAAATTTTGGAATTTCCAACCTCATCCAAGAAAATCAAAACGTTACCAGAGTGGATTCTGCAGCCGACAGAATTTATCCTTTAATTGATTGGCCCCTTCGCTATGCCAGGGGTCCCCAACCCCCAGGCCACGGCTCACTACCGGGGATTCGGAACCGGGCCACGCAAGTAGCGGGCCAGTGCATATGCAGCTCAGAGTGGTGCAAATGGCAGGCCGGCAGACGTATACCTCAGAAGTGGTATTCAGCAGCTTCTGACCAGTTCTGGTAGCGGAAATTTTGAGTAGTTGCGGAGAACTGGTAAATACTACGTCTGATTGGCCCAGCCCCCAGCTGCCTCCCGAGTCCCAGCTGATCGGGAGAAAATGGGGATTTTGCAGTAACCTTCCCCTGGAGTGGTGAGGGAATGGAGATTTTACAGTATCCTTCCCCTGGAATGGGGTGGGAATTGGAGATTTTGCAGTATCCTTCCCCTAGAGTGGGGTGGGAATGGAGATTTTGTAGTATCCTTCCCCTGGAGTGGGGAGGGAATGGAGATTTTACAGTATCCTTCCCCTGGAGTGGGTGGGAATGGAGATTTTACAGTATCCTTCCCCTGGAATGGGGTGGGAATGGAGATTTTGCAGTATCCTTCCCCTAGAGTGGGGTGGGAATGGAGATTTTGTAGTATCCTTCCCCTGGAGTGGGGAGGGAATGGAGATTTTACAGTATCCTTCCCGTGGAGTGGGTGGGAATGGAGATTTTACAGTATCCTTCCCCTGGAGTGGGGTGGGAATGGAGATTTTACAGTATCCTTCCTCTGCCACGTCCACCAAGCCATGCCACGCCCACCAAGCCGCACCCAAAGAACTGGTAGTAAAAAAAATTTGAATCCCACCACTGATATACATACATGCGCAGCTCAACTTCTGCATGTCAGGGTGTGCACACATGTACGTGCTGGCCCGTCATTTGCACAAATTGAGATGCGCGCACTGGCCAGCTGCTCGTGTGGCCCGTTTCCCCTCTCAGCACCTGTCGGGCCACCAAGCCACAGAGGTTGGGGACCCTTCCGCTGTGCGACTTCCGAGGGGGATGAGGGGTTCAAAAACGTGAAAAATAAATGAATATGAGCCACGGTGGTGCAGTGGTGAGAGTGCAGTACTGCAGGCTACTTCTGCCGGCTGCCTGCAATTGGGCAGTTCAAATCTCACCAGGCTCAAGGTTGACTCAGCCTTTCATCCTTCCGAGGTGGGTAAAATGAGGACCCAGATTGTTGGGGGCAATAGGCTGACTCTGTCAACCACATAAGGAGGGGTGTAATGCACTGTAAAGTGGCATATAAGTCTAAGTGCTATTGCTATTGCGGGCAAACTCTGCCCACAGCCACAGTTCGATTCTGATCAAGGTTGACTCAGCCTTCCATCCTTCCGAGGTGGGTAAAATTAGGACCCAGATTGTTGGGGGCAATAAGCTGACTCTGTCAACTGCTTAGAGAGGGCTGTAAAGCACTGTAAAGCGGCATATAAGTCTTAAGTGCTATTGCTATGGCTAATATACCTCTTATTTCCTTCCGTAACAGACTTCCTACAGGGTATTTGCACTCGATGTGGCCTTGGCTTTGTTAGAACATCCAGAGCGGGTTCAGGACGTCGTTTTGACCGAAGAGGAGCAGGTGTTTCTGAAACACAAATTCCTGATTCAGGTCATGATCTTCGGCCGGTGTTCGGACAAAGTGCCCACCGTTCGCAGCAAAGCCCTGTCCAGCTTCGCTCAGTGCCTGGAAAACAAAGTTGTCTCAAACGTACAGGACATTCAAGAGCTGTTGCATGGCAGTAAGTATGAGCTCTCAAAAGATAACAGTTACGCATATAGCAGTAGCACTTAGACTTAAATACCACTTCACAGTGCTTTTACTGCCCTCTCTAAGCAGTTTACAGAGTCATCCTATTGTCCCCAACAGTCTGGCTCCTCATTTTACCGACCTCGGAAGGATGGAAGGCTGAGTCAATCTGGAGCCAGTCAGGATCAAACTACTGGCAGTGGGCAGAGTTTGCCTGCAATACTACATTCTAACACTGGGAGGGAGGGAGGGAAGGGAAGGAAGGAAAGGAAGGAAGGAAAATAGCAATAGCACTTATATACCGCTTCACATGGCTTTTACTGCCCTCTCTAAGCGGTTTACAGAGTCTGCATATTGCCCCCAACAATCTGAGTCCTCATTTTACCCACCTCGGAAGGATGGAAGGCTGAGTCAACCTTGAGCCAGTTAGAATCAAACTCCAGGCTGTGGGCAGAGTTTGCCTGCAATACTACATTCTAACACTGGGAGGGAGGGAAGGGAAGGAAGGAAGGAAGGAAGGAAGGAAGGAAAATAGCAATAGCACTTATATACCGCTTCACATGGCTTTTACTGCCCTCTCTAAGCGGTTTACAGAGTCAGCCTATTGTCCCCAACAGTCTGGCTCCTCATTTTACCGACCTCGGAAGGATGGAAGGCTGAGTCAATCTTGAGCCAGTCAGGATCAAACTACTGGCAGTGGGCAGAGTTTGCCTGCAATACTACCTTCTAACACTGGGAGGGAGGGAGGGAGGGAAGGAAGGAAGGAAGGAAGGAAGGAAGGAAGGAAGGAAGGAAAATAGCAATAGCACTTATATACCGCTTCACATGGCTTTTACAGCCCTCTCTAAGCGGTTTACAGAGTCAGCATATTTGCCCCCAACAATCTGGGTCCTCATTTTATCCATCTCGGAAGGATGGAAGGCTGAGTCAACCTTGAGCCTGGTGAGATTCGAACTGCCAAATTGCAGGCAGCCGGCAGTCAGCAGAAGTAGCCTGCAGTACTGCACTCTAACCACTGCGCCACCGCGGCTCTTATACCCACGTACACACACATATACGACACAAGAGAAACATCACGGTCTCGTTCGGATGTAGGCATATACATGGCGAAAAAGAAAAAGAATCCTGCAAATTTACAAGACGGATGGCATCAGGTCACATGATCCTGCAACCGTCATATATATACATGCCAGTTGCCAAGCACCTGAATTTCGACCCAGTGCAGTGTAAGCTCGGAAAACAATCATAAGTCACTTTTTCGGCGCTAATGCAACTTTGAACCGTCACTGAATGAATTGTTGTAAGTTAAGGACTACCTGTACCATTCCCTGCCATGAAGGGCTGTTGAAGTTTGTCGCCGCTCTGGTGTGAAATTCACAGGTGAACGGAGTAACTCATCCTTTTCATTTGTCTTCCTCTACAGCAGCTTGTTCTTCGGTCATGGATGCAAACACCCCTGCTGAAACATTCCTAACCAATGTGGAAGGTAAATAGTTTAGCCCCATGATGGCAAATGTCAAGTTTCCGAAAGACGCCCTAATTAATTCATGAGCCATGATCCAAACTTCAAAGGAAATACATTCATTTATTAGGAGCAACATTCCGGCAATACTCTGATGCAGTTAGGACTGATCCCACATAGATTTACGTTCCCCTATGACCCTCTTTCTCCCCTCCTCTCTGGCCATGTCATAAATCACATTCTCCAATTACCCACTTTGACTGGCTGTGAAACCTAACACCCTCCTTCTGATTGCGGTCAGGAAGAATGTATGGAATTCACTTCAGTTCTCCCTCCCCCCTGCTCATGGCAACTTGAAAGCTTTGCAAGTTGACAGCAAACCTATGGCACACGTGCCAAAGATGGCACGCAGCGCCCTCTCTGATGGCACGCAAGCCTTCGCCACAATTCAGCTCTGTTGTGCATGCGCGCGCACCTCCCGTCGGCCAGCTGGTCTGCCGTGTATGCGCGGGGGGCGTGCATGCATGCATGGCGGGCAGGGTGCATGCAGGGGTTTGCGCATACATGCACAGAGGGTGGGATGCATGCACGGGGGCGATGCACACATTGCATTTTGGGGGAGTTCAGGCGCATGTGCATTTGCGCTAACGTGCGCGCTTTGGACGTTCGGTCCGGAAAAGTTTAGCCATCAGTGGTCTAGCCTGCTAAAAGACCAGCCACCGTGCTGTCCCATTCTTTGCTCAATGTTGAAGCCTGTTTGAAATATTTCCTGGTGGAAAGAGATCTCCAGAACAAAAAAATCAGCTTCTTTGAGCAATTGGTTTGAAAAACCAAAACCCTGAAAACCTCCCCCTGGATTTTACGATCTTCAAGAGGGAGCCATTTTAGGATCGTTCGGCACCGTTAAATAACTTTTGGAAAAAATTAGGAACTCGGTTGAGTTTATCATCGTTCTGGGAGCATCCGTTAAGACTCCTCTGTTTCATTTAACCCACCCGTCAAATCTCCTTGAGTAAATATAGCATCGTTTGAAATAATGTGGCCGGTGATGCAGTCAGTGCCCCCCCCCCCGTTTCTTCTTTCTCTTCGCCAACTGTTTCCCACCTTTAATTCTTTCTCTTGACGATGTGTCACAGTTTTGTCACTCTAGCAGCCGAATAACGCAACATCGGTTTCGTTTCTGAGGCTGCGGCATCATATTTCTGCCTACACCTTTGAGAATTTTCCCCAGTTGGTTGGTTTAATCCCTGCCCACTCCTGTGAGTAATAAATCTGCTTGCCTCGATTCTCGGTTTTCCGAAATAACTTATTGAGGGGGCTTCTTTTAAAGGTCGTACCAGCCATCAGCTGAAGACATTCCCAACCTTCAAAACCATCGAAGTGACCCACGAACGGGACTCCACCGAGTTTAATGGTACGCCGGGTTTAAAAATGGGGTGTGTCTTTCCCTGTATTGTCTTTAAAGAAAGAGAGAAGTAGGGAGACGATAATTTTATGTGATGTTTTAATTTCGGTTTGAAGAAAGAATGTCAGAAGATGGAGGAAAGGGGAAAGGAGGAATTTAGGAAGAAAAGGACTGAAAAAGATGAGGGAATGTTGTCCCAAAGGTGCTTTTTTTCAAGAGGCAACTGGACTTTCGGGTTTTTCTTTGAAGATGTTTCACTTCCCATCCAAGAAGCTTCTTCAGCTCTGACTGGATAGTGGAGAATGGAAGGATTTATACTCCTTGAGTATAAAGGAGTATAAAGAAGTATAAAGCCTTCCATTCCCCACCATCCAGTCCGAGCGGAAGAAGTTTATTAATTAATTAATTAATTAATTCAATTTGTATGCCGCCCCTCTCCGAAGACTCAGGGTGATGAGTCTTCTTCGATGAGAGGCGAAACATCTTCAAAGAAAAACCAGAAACTCCAGTTGCCTCTTGAAAAATCACCTTTGGGACAACCATGACCTGGATGACTGAGAATCTCCATAGACATGAGAGAATGTTGAAGAGCAGATCCAGATCTGGAGTTACATGAGTTGTCCAACATACCAAATTTGAAAAAAAAAGAAAAGAAATAAAAAGTAGGTAAATAAAAAAAGCTGTAGGGTTGTTTTGGCCAAAGATTTGAATTATTAACTTATAAGGTAAAGGTAAAGGTTCCCCTCACACATATGTGCTAGTCGTTCCTGACTCTAGGGGGTGGTGCCCATCTCCGTTTCAAAGCCGAAGAGCCAGCGCTGTCCGAAGACGTCTCTGTGGTCATGTGGTCGGCATGATTCAATGCCAAAGGCGCACGGAACGCTGTTACCTTCCCACCAAAGGTGGTCCCTGTTTTTCTACTTGCATTTTTTACGTGCTTTCGAACTGCTAGGTTGGCAGAAGCTGGGACAAGTCACGGGAGCTCACCCCGTTACACGGCACTAGGGATTCGAACTGCTGAACTGTCGACCTTTCGATCGACAAGCTCAATGTCTTAGCCACTGAGCCACCACGTACCTTAAATAACTTACAGACAACTTCAAAAATTGGGTTCTAGGACTGGTAGTCGCTCACCCTGTCTTGAGTAAATGTTAAATGCTTCTGATGCTCAATTGAGCACATGGCAGTTTTGAGAAATCTCCCGTTTTCCCTATTCAACAGGAAAAGAAATCATGGCCATCCTGAGGCAGAGAGCTATAGACGAGAAGACTAATGTGAGGAAATCAGCCCTCCAGGTAGGCATCTCACCTCTTCTGCTCCTGTCCAGGCCGATCAAAACCTGCAAGAGGGTACAGTTTTTCAATGGTTCCTTTTACCCAGCGGTCATTAACTGGTGGTCGGTGAACCTACTGGTGGTCCACGAGAAAATTTTGGTGGTCTGCTGAAAAATATTTGCATTTTTTATATTGCACTAAATCAGGGGTCCTCAAACAACGGCCCCTGGGACAGATACATGCAATGAACGTTTGTGTTGCTGCAGAGAGTCTCCTCTTTTTTTTTTGGTAAATAACTTACCCATTTTATCCCGATGCTGCCAGTGCTAAGGGTCAGCCTTCTGCAATGCCCAGTCTGTTTATTAAATTTTTATCCCGCCTGGATTGCTTTCAAAATAACTCAAGGCAATGAATACAGATAGTACTCCTTCTTCCTCTTCTTTCACCCTCCCTAACAGTAACCCTGTGAGGTGGGTTGGGCTGAGAGAGAGAGAGAAAGAAAGAGAGATTGGCCAAAGTCACCCAGATTGGTTTCATGCCTAAGGCAGGACTAGAACTCCCAGTCTCCTGGTCTCTAGGCCAGCACCTTCACCACTGCCTTATTATAGTTACAATTTTTCATTGATTCATGTCTAAGGGTGGGACTACAGCTCCCAGTTTCCTGTTCTCTGGGCCAGCACCTTCGCCACTGCCCCATTATAGCTACAATTTTTCAATTGATTCGTGCCTAAGGGTGGGACTAGAACTCCCAGTCTCCTGGTCTCTAGGCCAGCACCTTCAATACTGTCCCATTACAGCTACAATTTTTCATTGATTCATGTTTAAGGATGGGACTAGAACTCCCAGTCTCCTGATCTCTAGGCCAACACCGCCCCATTATAGCTACAATTTTTCAATTGATTTGTGCCTAAGGGTGGGACTACAGCTCCCAGTTTCCTGTTCTCTGGGCCAGCACCTTCGCCACTGCCCCATTATAGCTACAATTTTTCAATTGATTCGTGCCTAAGGGTGGAACTAGAACTCCCAGTCTCCTGGTCTCTAGGCCAGCATCTTCAACACTGTCCCATTATAGCTACAATTTTTCAATTGATTCGTGCCTAAGGGTGGGACTAGAACTCCAAGTCTCCTGGTCTCTAGGCCAGCACCTTCAATACTGTCCCATTATAGGTACAATTTTTCAATTTATTCGTGCCTAAGGGTGGGACTAGAACTCCCAGTCTCCTGGTCTCTAGGCCAGCACCTTCACCACTGCACCATTATACAGTAGCTACAATTTTTCATTGATTTGTGCCTAAGGGTGGGACCAGAATTCACAGTCTCCTGGTCTCTAGGCCAGCACCTTCACCACTATGCCATTATAGCTACAATTTTTCATTGATTCATGTTTAAGGGTGGGACTAGAACTCCCAGTCTCCTGGTCTCTAGGCCAGCACCTTCACCACTGCACCATTATACAGTAGCTACAATTTTTCATTGATTTGTGCCTAAGGGTGGGACCAGAATTCACAGTCTCCTGGTCTCTAGGCCAGCACCTTCACCACTATGCCATTATAGCTACAATTTTTCATTGATTCATGTTTAAGGGTGGGACTAGAACTCCCAGTCTCCTGGTCTCTAGGCCAGCACCTTCACCACTGCACCATTATACAGTAGCTACAATTTTTCAATTGATTTGTGCCTAAGGGTGGGACCAGAATTCACAGTCTCCTGGTCTCTAGGCCAGCACCTTCACCACTATGCCATTATAGCTACAATTTTTCATTGATTCATGTTTAAGGGTGGGACTAGAACTCCCAGTCTCCTGATCTCTAGGCCAACACCGCCCCATTATAGCTACAATTTTTCAATTGATTTGTGCCTAAGGGTGGGACTACAGCTCCCAGTTTCTGTTCTCTGGGCCAGCACCTTCGCCACTGCCCCATTATAGCTACAATTTTTCAATTGATTCATGCCTAAGGGTGGGACTAGAACTCCCAGTCTCCTGGTCTCTAGGCCAGCACTTTCAACACTATGCCATTATAGCTACAGTTTTTCAATTGATTTGTGCCTAAGGGTGGGACTAGAACTCCCAGTCTCCTGGTCTCTAGGCCAGCACCTTCAACACTGCCCCATTATAGCTACAATTTTTCAATTGATTCATGCCTAAGGATGGGACTAGAACTCCCAGTCTCCTGGTCTCTAGGCCAGCACCTTCGCCACTACCCCATTATAGCTACAATTTTTCAATTGATTTGTGCCTAAGGGTGGGACTAGAACTCCCAGTCTCCTGGTCTCTAGGCCAGCACCTTCACCACTGCCTTATAGTTAAATTTTTTATTAATTTGTGCCTAAGGCGGTACTAGAACTCCCAGTCTCCTGGTCTCTAGGCCAGCACCTTCGCCACTGCCCCATTATAGCTACAATTTTTCAATTGATTCGTGCCTAAGGGTGGGACTAGAACTCCCAGTCTCCTGGTCTCTAGGCCAGCATCTTCAACACTGCCCCATTATAGCTACAATTTTTCATTGATTCGTGCCTAAGGGTGGGACTAGAACTCCCAGTCTCCTGGTCTCTAGGCCAGCACCTTCAACACTGCCCCATTATAGCTACAATTTTTCATTGATTCGTGCCTAAGGGTGGGACTAGAACTCCCAGTCTCCTGGTCTCTAGGCCAGCACCTCAACACTGCCCCATTATAGCTACAATTTTTCAATTGATTCGTGCCTAAGGGTGGGACTAGAACTCCCAGTCTCCTGGTCTCTAGGCCAGCACCTTCGCCACTACCCCATTATAGCTACAATTTTTCAATTGATTCGTGCCTAAGGGTGGGACTAGAACTCCCAGTCTCCTGGTCTCTAGGCCAGCACCTTCACCACTGCCTTATAGTTACAATTTTTTATTAATTTGTGCCTAAGGCGGTACTAGAACTCCCAGTCTCCTGGTCTCTAGGCCAGCACCTTCAACACTGCCCCATTATAGCTACAATTTTTCAATTGATTCATGCCTAAGGATGGGACTAGAACTCCCAGTCTCCTGGTCTCTAGGCCAGCACCTTCGCCACTACCCCATTATAGCTACAATTTTTCAATTGATTTGTGCCTAAGGGTGGGACTAGAACTCCCAGTCTCCTGGTCTCTAGGCCAGCACCTTCACCACTGCCTTATAGTTACAATTTTTTATTAATTCGTGCCTAAGGCGGTACTAGAACTCCCAGTCTCCTGGTCTCTAGGCCAGCACCTTCGCCACTGCCCCATTATAGCTACAATTTTTCAATTGATTCGTGCCTAAGGGTGGGACTAGAACTCCCAGTCTCCTGGTCTCTAGGCCAGCATCTTCAACACTGCCCCATTATAGCTACAATTTTTCATTGATTCGTGCCTAAGGGTGGGACTAGAACTCCCAGTCTCCTGGTCTCTAGGCCAGCACCTTCAACACTGCCCCATTATAGCTACAATTTTTCATTGATTCGTGCCTAAGGGTGGGACTAGAACTCCCAGTCTCCTGGTCTCTAGGCCAGCACCTCAACACTGCCCCATTATAGCTACAATTTTTCAATTGATTCGTGCCTAAGGGTGGGACTAGAACTCCCAGTCTCCTGGTCTCTAGGCCAGCACCTTCGCCACTACCCCATTATAGCTACAATTTTTCAATTGATTCGTGCCTAAGGGTGGGACTAGAACTCCCAGTCTCCTGGTCTCTAGGCCAGCACCTTCACCACTGCCTTATAGTTACAATTTTTTATTAATTTGTGCCTAAGGCGGTACTAGAACTCCCAGTCTCCTGGTCTCTAGGCCAGCACCTTCAACACTGCCCCATTATAGCTACAATTTTTCAATTGATTTTTACTAGCCTTATATCTCTTTGTGCTCCCTTGGTCAACCAGTTGGAGGCCAAGTATCTCAGTTCGGTGTTTGTGACTCCACTCCCATTTTATTTTTTTAAACCCTTGCAGTATTCTGGCTTTGGCTGCCGTTGAGCAGAGTTAATGGTTAAGGTTTAAAGCCTGCTGTTCCATCACCTGCTAGAGAATAAATCTGGAATCTCTGCGAAATGCAGATGTTCATTACTGAAATTGCCACCATCCTTCTTCTCTCTGCCTCCTCTTCATTTACTCCGTAATTTGTAACTAAAGGTGTATAAATTCATAACCGGCGTTCCTCGTGGGCCATATGTCTAAATCAGCCCAATTGTTCTCTTATCGATATCAAGAATTCCCCTCCCTGGAAGTGACAGTGAGTGAAAAACGATGGGTGGGCGGAGTGAAATGTGACCTTAACTTAGGCAAGTACTGTCTCTCCTGCCGAGAGATTTATTACTCGGTAATGAAAGTCGTAAGCTTGAATAAATCACTTTTAAACATTTAAACCCTCCCGTGTTTAGAATATTTATAGGGGTATAATGAATTTGGATGGCGAGCTAATGAATGAGCACTCATCTGAATGCAAAGTGGCCCAAAATCCTGGTTTCTCTGAATATTGTAGATTTAGCTAGTTTATTTTACGGCCTTGATGCAGCCCCTCCCCCACAATTGGCAAGAAAGAGAGGTGGCCATTATAACAGCTATGGAATTATATATCAGCAAGAGCTTTGTTCCTCTTTCGATCATCAAATTTTACAACTCACTATATTGCCAATCTTTGGCAGTGCTTCTCTCTTTGTCTATGGAGATTCTAAATCATCCAGGTCATGGTTGTCCCAAAGGCAGGGGTGAAATCCAGCAGGTTCTGACAGGTTCTGGAGAACCGGTAGCGGAAATTTTGAGCAGTTTGGAGAACCGGTAGCGGAAATTTTGAGCAGTTCGGAGAACTGGCAAATACCACCTCTGGCTGGCCCCAGAGCGGGGTGGGAATGGAGATTTGGCAGAATCCTTCCCCTGCCACGCCCACCAAGCCACACCACACCATGCCCACCAAGCCATGCCCACAGAACCGGTAGTAAAAAAATTTGAATTTCACCACTGGCCAAAAATGCTTTTTTTTTTTTTTTCTCAAGAGGCAAATGACCTTTCGGGTTTTTCTTTGAAGACATTTCGCTCCTCATCCAAGAAGCTTCTTCAAGTGGCCTCAACGGCCCACTAAAAGGATGCCAATGACCAGCTGTCTGTAAGGAATATAAATCCTTCCATTCCCCTCCATCCAGTCAGAGCTGAAGAAGCTTCTTGGATGAGAAGCGAAACGTCTTCAAAGAAAAATCACGAAAGTCCAGTTATCTCTTTAAAAACAGCACCTTTGGGACTGTTTCTCTCTTTATTTTTTTATTTTTTATTTTTTTGAGGGTGTGTCAATTTCGTCTCTAAAACTGATTCATTGTGTGATGTCTCTGGGGTAAAAATAAAAAAGGTACAGATTCCCATATAAAGCAGAATTGAAAATGTGATCTCTGTCCAGTCAGTATCGTCACATTGCCATAATGCTCCCCTGCCATGCTTGGAGTCCCAAGGTGATGGGAGTGATGAAGATGGTCGCCACGATGTAAAAAAAAATGTGGAGACTCTAGAAAGAGTGCAGAGAAGAGCAACAAAGAGGATTAGGGGACTGGAGGCTAAAACATACGAAGAACAGTTGCAAGAACTGGGTATGTCAAGAACAGGAGCCTGAGTGGCGTAGGAGGCTAATGCCTCCTGCTAAGGCAGCATTTAACATCCAGCTGCCTGCAATTACTGCAAGTTCAATTCTCACCAGGCTCAAGGTCGACTCAGCCTTCCATCCTTTCTAAGGTGGGTAAAATGAGGACCCAGTTTGTGGGGGCAATAAGCTGACTTTGTATAAAATATACAAAAGTATGAAGGCTATTGCTTAACGCATTGTAAGCCGCCCTGAGTTTTCGGAGAAGGGCGGCATATAAAAATAAATAAATAAATAAATAAATAAATAAATAAATAAATAAATAATAAAATAAAATGTCTAATCTAATGAAGAGAAGGACTAGGGGAGACATGATAGCAGTCTTCCAATATCTCAGGGGCTGCCACAAAAGAAGAGGGAGTCAAGCTATTCTCCAAAGCACCTGAGGGCAGGACAAGAAGCAATGGGTGGAAACTCATCAAGGAGAGAAGCAGCTTAGAACTAAGGAGGAATTTCCTGACAGTTAGAACAATTAATCAGTGGAACAACTTGCCTCCAGAAGCTGTGAATGCTCCAACACTGGAGGCAACTTTTTCAGGAGGCAATTAAACTTTCTTGTTTTGTCTTTTGAAGACGTTTCGCTTCTCATCCAAGAAGCTTCTTCAGCTCTGACTGGATGGTGGGGAATGGAAGGATTGATACTCCTTGCAGACAGCTGGTCATTTGCATCCTTTTAGAAGGGCGCTGAAGCACTTGGAAGTTTATCTGGGTTCTCAAGGTCACCTGAGTGGTGCTCCTGGTTCCTGTAGTCCAGTGGTCCCCAACCTTTTTATCGCCGCGGCCCGCTGAGCGCGCGCAGGGGTGGGGGCACGGCCCAGGAGCTTTTGCGCACGGCCCATTGCGCATGGCCCAGGAGCTTTTGCGCTGCAGCGTTCATGTCCCCCGGCCGCTGCGCGGCCCGGTGCCAGGTACTCCACGGCCCGGCACCGGTCCGCGGACCGGGGGTTGGGGACCACTGCTGTAGTCTGCAATTTTTTCCTCTGGAAATCCATCCCGACTCCCACACCATTCAAAGGGCGTCCATCCCAAATTGGATAGCTAAAAGTCTGTAGGGATTCTCAGTCATCCAGGTCCTGGTTGTCCCAAAGGTGCTTTTTCAGTTGCCTCCTGAAAAAGCACCTCTGGGACAACCATGATCTGGATGACTGAGAATCTCTACAGACTTCCAACACTGGAAGATTTGAAGAAGAGATTGGATAGTCATTTATCTAAAACGATATAGGGTGTATTGATATCCTGAACTGTGGGGCAGCAGGTTTCCTGAGCAGGGGGTTTCCTGAGCGGGGAGCTGGACTACGAGACCTCCTTACAGAAAGTCCTTTCCAACTTCTTCTGTTATTCATAGAATATATGTAAAGATGTCAATTTCTCTGGCTCAGATTTCCTCTTGTCCGTATAGCCCACACTCCATAGAAAACGAGAGCCAGATTTGAAAACAGCTTCCTATAGTTTTGTGTTTTGTGTCTTCTGCTCTGAGTTGTATTCCAAGATCAGCTTTTTTTTTCAACTCTTTGGGTTTCTATCAAAAATGGCTACAGCTGAGGAAAACGTATCCTATTGATCCCTTTCCCATCTCTACCTCTTTCACTCTGTTGTTTGATGTCCAGGTGTTGACCAGCATTTTGAAGCACACCGTGGTCCCGTGTACCTCAGAAGACCTGTCCACCGTCCAGGATCGTTGTCGTGATCCGGCTATCTCCGTGAGGAAGTTAGCGCTGCAATCTATTACGGAGCTCTTACAGGTAACGGGGTAACTTTTGACCCCTTCTTAGCCTTCCCTTCCCCCAAATCCTAGGACAGTGATGGCTAATCTTTTTGCCACCGCGTGCCAAAAGCGGGGATCGTGAGTGGGGGGGGTCGCATGCACGCGTGCCCACACCCATAATTCAATGCGCGCACCCCCTGCGCATGTGCACATGACCCCCTCCCCGCACTCCCCCCCCGCTTTTGGCATGTGATGGCATGGTGGGATTGGAAGGCCCATTTTTCGCCCTCCCCAGGCTCCAGAGACTTTCTAGGAGTCTGGGGAGGGTGAAAACGGCCTTCCCCACCCCCTTGGAGGCCCTCCGAAGGCTGGAAACAGCCCATTTCCTGACTTCCGGTGGGACCAGAAGGCCTGTTTTTCACTCGCCCCAGGCTCCAGAGGCTTTCTAGGAGTCTGGGGAGAATAAAAATGCCCCGCCTCCCCCCGGAGGCCCTCCGGAGGCAGGAAACAGCCCATTTCCCGACTTCCGGTGGGCCCAGAAGGCCTGAAAATCAGCTGGCCAGCCTGTGTATGCATGCTGGAGCTGAGCTAGGGCAATGCCCAAGGATATGGCTCCGCGTGCCACCTGTGGCACGCGTGCCATAAGTTCACCATCACGGTCCTAGGAGATTATACTAAATCCTTGGAATTTGGGACCCAGGGCCCAAGGTGTTTGACAGAGCCCCACCACTGGCCCGGCCAGCGGCCAGCGGATCTGGCAGCAGATTCGGACAGTGAGGAGGTTGGGGAGGAATATGGGCCAGTCCTGGAGTCTGGGGAAGGCTCTGCGTCGGAGGCAGAGATGGGGTCAGGGCTGTCTGACAGTTTTCAGCTGCCTTTGGAGTCAGACATCAGTGAGGCAGAGGAACAGCTGGAGCCTGTTCCCAGTGTGCGCATGCTCAGAGTTGCCAGACGAAGGGAACAGCTAAAGAACAAGGGTCGATTTGGGAGTAAGGCCACAGGTGGACGATGAATGGCCCCTCCCAGAGGGAATAAAAGAGGAGCGACAGGGGAGTGGAGTTTGCAGGAGACAATTCGTTCATTCCTGCATTCTTGCCAAGTATTGCGGGCGTCTGAAAGATATCGGCCTGGCCACTCTCCAAGCCTGATAAAGGTCGGTAATTGTGAACTATCTTGAAAGACTGTGGGAGAGGAAAGACTTTGCTGGAGAGGAATTCATTGTCAATTAAATAAAAGGGTTTTTTGTCCGGACGAGGACTCAGCTTCGTGGTTTGGGGACGCCTAGTTCAAAACACTAGCTCTGTTGAAGGCCTCTTTAAGTTTCTTCAGCTACTGTGCATTTTTTTAAAAAAAATTTATGTCTTTTATTTTTAAACGTTCTTTTGAAGTTGCACCCTGCCCAAGGTCATAGATACGAGGTGGGCATTAACAGATTAATAGAGTTGGAAGGGACCTTGTAGGTCATCAAGTCCAACTCTCTGCTCAAGGCAGGAGACCTTATACCATCCCGATCAAATAAAGGAATGAATTGATCCGTTAATCCATACTATTGCTGATCTCTGCTTCTAATGATTCTGGCTCCCAGAGATGTATGACTCAACACTGGTCTAAGAAGATTCACTTCCTGCAGTAGTTTTTTTCTATAGGCTTTTGGCCTCATCCAGCATGGCTGCCAAGAAGATTCTAGAAAGAGTGCAGAGAAGAGCAACGAAGATGATTAGTGCACTGGAGGCTAAAACATATGAAGAACAGTTACAGGAACTGGGCATCATGGCTAGTCTAGTGAAGAGAAGGACCAGGGAAGACATGATAGCAGTCTTCCAATATTTGAAGGGCTGCCACAGAGAGGAGGGGGTTTTTCAAAGCACCCGAAGCCCAGACAAGGAATAATGGATGGAAACTGACCAAGGAGAGATTCAACTGGGAAACAAGGACAAATTTTCTGACAGTGAGAACAATCAACTGATGGAACAGAAGTTGCCTTCGGAAGTTGTGGGAGCTTCATCACTGGAGGATTTCAAGAAAAGATTGGACTGGGGTCTCCTGCTTGGGCTCGGGGTTGGGCTAGATGACCTACAAGGTCCCTTCCAGCTCTATTAAATCTCAGCACGATTCGCCACGTGCGAATAGGCGGGCCGTATAAATTTCCAAAAATCAAAATAAAATAAACCCGATTGGCCAGCCGAGCTTTCTAACCAGCGTCTCTTCTCCTTCTTCTTACAGTCACAACCGAAGAACCTTCTGATGCAGAAGGCTTGGCTCATGGGCGTCATCCCCGTCGTTATGGACTGCGAGACCTCTGTGCAGGAGAAAGTCCTGGAGTGCGTGGATCACCTCTTGCTCCAGCAAATGAAGCCCTGCCATAAATTCACGCATCAAGACAAGGACCAAGTGCTGGCTTGGGATCTCCTTACCTTGCTCACAAAAGAGAGTCAAGAGCTGAGGTAGGGTTTCTAACGTCTGGCTGAGCCCAGAACCCTCCCCCTCTAATCATAGGCACAATATCTCAAAGCTGCTATTTTTTTTAAAAAAAAATATTGATTTTCTATTAAATACATTTTTTTAAATTTATTTTTTAATTTGATTTATATGCCGCCCTTCTCCGGAGACTCAGGGTGGCTTACAATGTGCTAAGCAATAGCCTTCATCCTTTTGTATATTTATACAAAGTCAGCTTATTGTCCCCACAAACTGGGTCCTCAATTTACCCACCTTAGAAAGGATGGAAGGCTGAGTCGACCTTGAGCCTTGGCGAGATTCGAACCTGCAGTAATTGCAGGCAGCTGGTCTTAATAACCAGCTTAATAACAGGGTGCCTTAGACCACTGTACTACCAAGGCTCTTATTTCTTAGTGCTTAATAAACATAGTCTTGTCCTGGTATATAATTTGCTTAGTAATACGAATTTAACAATAAGGGACACGGTGGCTCAGTGGCTAAGACGGTGAGCTTGTCGATCAAAAGGTCAGCGGTTCGAATCCCCAATGCCGCGTAACGGGGTGAGCTCCCGTGACTTGTCCCAGCTTCTGCCAACCTAGCAGTTCGAAAGCACGTAAAAAAATGCAAGTAGTAAAATAGGGACCACCTTTGGTGGGAAGGTAACAGCGTTCCGTGCGCCTTTGGCATTTAGTCACGCTGGCCACATGACCACGGCGATGTCTTCTTCGGACAGCGCTGGCTCTTCGGCTTTGAAATGGAGATGAGCACCGCCCCCTTGAGTCGGGAACGACTAGCACATATGTGCGAGGGGAACCTTTACCTTTACTTTACAAATGTACATTCTTTATCTGCACCCCTTTTTTCCAACCATTGGTAAAATAAATTCCATGCTTGCTAACATTCTACATCTTCTTTCCGTTTAATTTTCAGTCTATCCCTTTCTGCACAATCTAGTATCTTCCTTAGTATCTCTTCATCTCACGGTGTATCTTCATTTTTTCCAGTATTGTGCGAATATAATCCTCGCTGCCGAGAACCCTCTGAACGCACAATGTCCCAAAAGTGCTTTTTCAAAAGGCAGCTGGATTTCCTTTGTTTTTTTCCTTCCGCTGTGCCTCATTCCTTTTAGTGTCTTCCTACTTAATGACAAAAGTGAAGGCAAAAAACCCGCGACGCCTTGATAAAAAAAACGAGAGCAGAAAGTTTCAGCATCGGAAGCTGAAGGTTGGGAGAGGGTCAGAGCTAAGTCCTCAAGACTGCTATTTGCCTGTCCTTAAGTGCAGATCTTTGCACTTTCTTTTATTAAGTTATAGAGCAGTGATGGTTAACTCTTTCGGCACCGAGTGCCGAAACTGGAGCGCGCATGAACACGAAAGCGAGCAGCTGGCCGGTGCGCATGTATGTGGCGGCCAGCTGCTCTTTATGGTTCTCTTGTGCACATGCGCTTCGGCAATCTGCTCTCTTCCGGGTTTTGGCGCATGTATGCGTGCCGGACAGCTGGTCTTCCCACGAAGACTAGTTGGCTGGCGCCATGCGCATGACGGATCCCGGAAGAGCAGCTGGTGATGGCACGTGTGCCCACAGAGAGGACTCGGCGTGCCACCTCTGGCAGACGTGCCACCGGTTCGCCATCACGGTTATAGAGTATTATAAAATACAACATTCAAAAGTAAATAGAAGAGCAGTAGGAGGAGGGAGGGGAAAGAGAAGTGAGGAAAGATGGGGGGGGGGGGAGAAAAAGAAGCATTGACTTCCGACTCTTTTTGGTACAATAAAATAAGGCGTTAACATCAAATCACAGCTTTTTGCTTTTCCGTAACAGTATAAGCAAGTTGTTTCTGTAAAGATCCATCAATCTAATCTGGAAAACCCAAAGTCAAGAGTTATATTCTTTTCCACGTCAAGGACGAAGTCAGGAAGCGGTTTTCATGTGGAAACAAAAGTGCTTACAAAAGTACTTAAGGGTGTACTCACTTTTGTTGCCAGCAGTTTAGACATTAATGGCTGTGTGTTGCATTATTTTGGGGGGACAGCACTGTTATACAAGCTGTATACGCAATACTTTTAGTATCTTTTATTTTATGTACACTGAGAGTGTATGCACCAAGAGAAATTCCTTGTGTGTCCAATTATACTTGGCCAATATAAAAAATCTCTTCTCTTCTCTTCTCTTCTCTTCTCTTCTCTTCTCTTCTCTTCTCTTCTCTTCTCTTCTCTTCTCTTCTCTTCTCCTCTCCTCTCCTCTCCTCTCCTCTCCTCTCCTCTCCTCTACTCTCTTCTACTCTACTCTACTCTACTCTACTCTACTCTACTCTCTTCTACTCTACTCTACTCTACTCTACTCTATTCTATTCTATTCTATTCTATTCTATTCTATTCTATTCTATTCTATTCTATTCTATTCTATTCTACTTTACATTGTAGCCAAGTGTCATTTATTCAGTGTTGTCCCCATGGAAAGGTATACTTAAATATTTACAAAATGTGAGGGGGTGTACTCGCTTCTGGGACATACTGTATGCTCTTTCCTTTAATCAAAGTGGTCAGCTTTGCCATTCCCGCCAACTCCCCTCAACTTCTGCAACCATTCTTCCACATGCTAGGAATCGACGTGTCCTTCCATTTTTTTGCGCAGATCCTTGTTTTTTTTTTAAATCAACAAAAATGGCTATATGCTAATTAGAAATTTCCCTCCCTCCTTCGGAGAATATCCATCTTTACTGAGCTCAGCTTGTTTCTCTGCCTGCAACTCCAAGCATTTATTCCATGCAGGGTGGATAAAAATCAATGATTTTTTTTAAAAAATCAAAAAATATTTTTTTTGATTTAAATCGGATTTTTTTGATTTTTATCGAATTTATTTTAATAAAAAACTTTTGGGGTAAAAATCTATCGTAAGATAGTTTTCTATTTAAGATACATAAATAATTTAGTTTATTCAGCATGAAATGGAGCTTAGTTATGTAGCACGAGGCTGTATATTCTGCAACACTGGGACTATCGGTGAGTCAACAGCGGGTCAAAAGAGTAGCAGAGATGACAGTTGCTCTTTAAAAAATTATGATTTAAATCGAGTTGATTTAAATCAAGCCTTTTTACTAGTGATTTAAATCATGATTTAAATTGTGATTTAAATCAACTCGACTTAAATCAAATGCTTAACGCATTGTAAACCGCCCTGAGTCTCCGGAGAAGGGCGGCATATAAATTAAAAAAAAAATTAAATTAAAATCCACCCTGATTCCATGGTCACTCTCTCTCTCTCTCCCTCCCTCCCTCCATCTCTCTCTCTCTCTCTCTCTCTTTCCTCCCTCCCTCCCTCTCTCTCTCTCTTTCTTCAGCTTTTACAGGAAGCAAAATAAGGGGTGAGGTGCCGTTTCTGGAATGACAGGAACATATGCTGAATTAAAAACAGCGTCTGTTTATTAGTCAATAGCGTGTAACAGCTTCTGAAATAGAACATGTTGTGTTAGGATGGCTGATACCATCAAACCAATCCTAATTTTGGCCCGTGGATGAGACACTTGGAATTTTTAAATTGCCTGGGAGGTTTTCTGAATCATTTCAATATTTTTCGCCCTATTTTGAGACAAGTGAAAATGTATATGGGAGGAAGACAGTTTGTTTGGCACGGAGGAATAACGTTTTTGAAGTTTAAAGGGTCACATGGGTGACGCATGAGAAAGATGAAGGAACTAAATCCAGATATTGCTTAGTCATGGAAAAAAAAAGCGTAGAAAATCTGACGTGCCAAAATTTAATTTCGGAGCCTCGGGTTTCAAAATCTGCTTTTTGTTAATCTTTCGGTTAAACTGATAAACAGATTGTATAAACGTTGCATATTACTTTGAAGAAGGCTCTGGTAATCTGTGTGAATAGAATAGAATAGAATAGAATAGAACAGAACAGAACAGAACAGAACAGAACAGAACAGAACAGAATAGAATATTGGAATGAAGAGTAGAGTAGAGTAGAGTAAAGTAGAATAGAATAGAATAGAATAGAATAGAATAGAATAGAATAGAATAGAATAGAATTGAATTCTTTATTGGCCAAGTGTGATTGAACACACAAGGAATTTGTCTTTGGTGCATATGCTCTCAGTGTACATAAAAAGAAAAGATACATTCGTCAAGAATCATAAGGTGCAACACTTAATGATGGAATGGACCAGGGGTGAAATACTCCTGGTTTGGACCGGATTGCCCGATCCGGTAGCGATGGCAGCAGGTGGTTCGGAGAACCGGTAGCAAAAATCCCTGTCCCTGCCCCCCCCTCCATTGCCCAGCTGAGCTGCACAATCATCAAAGGCTTTTTTTTTTTATTTTAAAAAGCATTTTTTTTCTACAACCTCTTCGGCCGAAAAAAATGCTTTTAAAAGTTTTAAAAAAAAGCCTCTGATGATCGCGCGGCTCAGCTGGGATCGTCAGAGGCTTTTAAAAGCTTTTTTTTTTTTTTACAACCTCTTCAGCCCAAGAGGTTGTAGAAAAAATGTTTTTAAAAGAAAAAAAAAGCCTCTGACGATCAGGCAACTCAGCTGGGATCGTCAGAGGCTTTTAAAAGCATTTTTTTTTATTTACAACCTCTTCGGCTGATTTTAAAAGTAAAAAAGAAAAGTTGCCCACGCCCACCCAGTCACATTATCCCGCACCAAACTACACCCACAGAACCAGTAGTAACAAATTTTACGTTTCACCACTGGAATGGACCCTTCTGTAGTTCTTTGCACCTTGGCCCAGAGAGATTAAAAAAAGCTCCTGCCTTTGTTGTAAATTAAATTAGACTCCTGTAGTTTGTAAACCATAAACTTTGAATAGCATGCATTAGCAATAGCACTTAGGTTTATATACCGCTTTGCAGTCCTCTATGAGCGGTTTTACAGAGACAGCATATGGCCCCCCAACAATCTGGGTCCTCATTTTACCCACCTCAGAAGGATGGAAGACTGAGTCAAACCTTGAGCTGGTCAGGATCGAACTCCTGGCAATTGGCAGAATTAGCCTGCAATGCTGCTTTCTAACCACTGAAAAGGAAAGGAAAGGAAAGGAAAGGAAAGGAAAGGAAAGGAAAGGAAAGGAAAGGAAAGGAAGGAAAAGAAGATAGCAATAGCACTTAGACTTACATACCGCTTCACAGGGCTTTTACAGCCCTCTCTAAGTGGTTTACAGAGTCAGCCTATTGCCCCGCAACAATCTGGGTCCTCATTTTACCCACTTCAGAAGGATGGAAGACTGAGTCAACCTTGAGCTGGTCAGGATTGAACTCCTGGCAATTGGCAGAATTAGCCTGCAATGCTGCATTCTAACACACTGAAAAGGAAGGAAGGAAGGAAAATAGCAATAGCACTTAGATTTATATACCACTTCACAGTGCTTTCAGCCCCTTCTAAGAGGTTTACAGAGTCAGCATATGGCCCCCCAACAATCTGGGTCCTCATTTTACTGACCTCGGAAGGATGGAAGGCTGACTCAACCTTGAGCCCATCAGATTCGAAGGAAGTTTTGAGCTGCAGTACTACATTCTAACCACCAGGACTCCTAGTTACATTCATTACATCCATCCGACATTAGGATTTATTAAAATGAGCTAGCTTCATTAATCAAACTCTTTTCATGCATCTTAGTTAAAAGAAAAGGTGGCAGTTTCTCTGGACAAAACGAACAGCAAGCTAATGGAGTTTGGCTTTCTGGCAATGGTGAAATTCAGTGACCGTGGCATCCACCAAATGCAAAAGGCCCTTATGATTGATTGTTCTCTCTCTCTCTCTCTCTCTCTCTCTCTCTCTCTCTCTCTCTCTCTCAGCCGCTATTTAAGCAAAGCTTTCCACATTCTGGCTCAGAAGAACAAATTCTCCTCTTCGTTCATTAACGGCGTCATTTCCCATACCGAAACCGAGCGTGCCGCAGCTGCTTGGATGTTATTGGCAAAAGTGGCTGGTTCCTCACCCAAGTTGGACTATTCCAAAATCATTGATGCCTGGGACAGCATCAGCAGGTGAGTGAAAACTCCCACGAAAGCGGGAGTGAGCATATGGCTGGAGTTAAATATGGCAATCAAGTGCTTCCTCTGGTTTTGGCCTAACACACAGGGCTCCAAACCTAGAGACTGTCAACCCTGAAGCTGACCTGACCGAGGTCATTTTGAGGCTTTAGTGTTGCCACGCTGGAGCTGAGGGATAGGGGGAGGGGGAATAGAGATAGCTGGGGTTTTATTGTTGTGGCCCGTCAGTGGCCTGTGCAGTTAGTAGCTGATTCCGACAGTGAGGAGGCTGGTGTAGTGTTGCGCCAGCAGCCTGTGCAGCTGGCGCTCAAGTCGGACAATGAGGCTGGAGAAGATGTGGTGCCAGAGGCGGGGATTCAGCCAGGGCCTTCAGAACCTCCAGAAGCTCCCATAAGTGAAGAGGAGGAGGAGCCTCTTCTCGATGCACGAGCGCGCAGAGCTGTTAAAAGGCAGGAGTAGCTCCTCAGGAGGAGGTCTCCTCGAGAGTAAGGCTTGAGGCTAATTGGCCACTCCCCTAGCCTATTTAAGGAAGGACGACGACTGAGGCAATTTGCAGGAAACAACTTCGTTCATATTCCTTCGCGTCTTGATTCCAGAAACGTTTGATTCGGCTCTTGTTTATCACGTCAGTTTTCCTGCAAATTGCTTCTGGGCATTCTGCCAGCCTCAGTAAGATTACGGTTATCTGAAATACTGTGCCTCAGAATTGAGTTATTATTCTTTGGATTCTTGTTGGCTGTTCATGAAGTTAAATTAACAGCCCTTGTTCAGAAAAGACTGATTTAAACTGTACTTGTGTTCAAACAACTACTAAGAAAGCTCATTAGTAGTCCTTAATTAATAAACTAAGGTTTGTATGGACTTTGTGTGTGCTGCGTTCTTTGGGGTCCGTAGCTGGGGCAGAATATTTATAGCCAAAACAGAAGACTTTCTCCTGGAAACCAAGGACATTCCCACAGGTGGTTGGAGAGAGGAGAAGTGAAGTTACCAGGCAACCGGACGATGCCTTGATTGGACCATGTGACTGATTGTTTGGGGAAGGGGAAAAACTTTTACTTTTAATTGGGTGAAAACCGCGGGAACATTCAGAGTCGGTTTTCACCAGCCTGGGCCAATATGATATATCCAATAAAACTATTCTTTGAGGAATCTACCTGCCTCGGAGTTCTGTTTGCTATGGGTGTATTACTTGGAACCCTGACAGCGACTTTAAGACTTGTGGACTTCAAGTCCCAGAATTCCTCAGCCTGGCTGTAGAATTCTAGGAGTTGAAGTCCATAAGTCTTAAAAGTTGCCAAATTTGGGGACCCCTGGCCTAGCATGTTGACCCCAGCCCTTGGTTTACGGCCCAGGGTTAAATGAGCCACGGCACAACATATGAATCTAATTGCTTTCATTCATTCATGAGAAGTGGGATCATTCATCATTTCATTCTTCTCCATTTTTCCAGACAGCCCGAAGCCAACCTGGAGACCATGGTGCACATCCTCAGCGTGATTGGAAGTGTTGCCAGACACCTGCCTAGCAGCACCCAGAGCAGGCTAATGAGTGAGAACTCACTAAACAGTCATTTGGGAGGGTACTTTTTCTTGTGGTTTGCCGGCGGCCTGCGGAGCTGGCAGCAGAGTCGGACAGTGAGGAGGCTGGGGAGGAACATGGGTCAGCCCTGGAGTCTGGGGAAGGTTCAGACGAGGGCTCTGCGTCGGAGGCAGAGAGGGGACCAGGGCCATCTGGTAGTTATGTGCTGCCTCCGGAGCCTCTGGAATCTGACATCAGCGAGGCAGAAGAACAGTGTGAGCCTGTTCCCAGTGTCCGCATACGCAGAGTTGCCAGAAGGCAAGAACAATTAAGGAGAAAAAGGGTGACTCAGGAGTAAGGCTTGGAGTTGATTGGCCCCTCCCATAAGGAGCAAACGGACATGAGCCTTTGCAGGAAGCAATTAGTTCATATAGTCGATTCAAGCTCAGAAGTCCGTTTGACTCTGTGCTAAGTTTGGCCTTGCAAAACTAATTGCCAATTAGGTCTCTGGCAGCGTTTCAAGGGAGATAAAGGTGGGTTGCTTATCAACTTATCAATGGCCTAGCCTAAATGGTTTTTAATTGGGATTTTAAATTTTATGGATTTGGGGTTTTAAATTGGGTAGCCAGTGATTTAATTCTTTTTAATTGTCTTAACTTTTGCATTTGTATGTTTTTTAATTTTGGCTGTTCACCGCCCTGAGTCCCTTCTGGGAGAAGGGCGGCATACAAAATAAATAAATAATAAACAAACAAACAAACAAACAAACAAACAAACATTACCCTGAACGACTGTGTCAACTCGAGCAGACCTCTGTCGGAAACTTCCCAGACTGTTTGTGAATCGTTACGGGCTGTGAATGACCATAATTCACAGCCGTCTCAATAAAAGAGGTTTTTTGGGGACTAAAATTGTGATTTATGCTTTCTTGGGAAGCCTAGGTCAGAACCCTTTTCTGGAAGCAACGGTCTCTCTTATGCAATCTTCTTTGTGGTGAGGGAGAAGGGCTGTCTATGCCCCCCAACACCCATTTACTCAGGGGGGTTTGGCCTTCTTTTGCAGATGATCTCAAATGTTGGCTGCAGGACTTCCGGTGTCCTTTGGAGGCGATCAGCTCAACTATCGAAACTCTGCAGAAGCTTAGCCAGGCTGTCACAGATGCCCCAAAGGAGATGCAGGTGAGACTCGCCGAGTCTTCTTCAAAAACTGTGGATGTTTTGTCCCAAAGGTGCTTTGTTTTCAGGAGGCAACTGGGACTTCCTTGTTTTTTTTCTTTTGAAGACGTTTCGCTTCTCATCCAAGAAACTTCTTCAGCCTGACAGGATAGTGGGGAATGGAAGGATTTATTCTGTCTGTATCCTTACGATTTATATTGATTGTTTCCTAGTATGATTTGATTGCTTATTTGTACCCTATGACTATCATTAAGTGTTGTACCTTATGATTCGTGATAATGTATCTTTTCTTTTTATGCACACTGAGAGCGTATGCACCAAAGACAAATTCCTTGTGTGTCCAATCACACTTGGCCAATAAAGAATTCTATTCTATTCTATTCTATTCTATTCTATTCTATTCTAATCTATTCTAATCTAATCTAATCTAATCTAATCTAATCTAATCTAATCTAATCTAATCTAAAAATTTACTGAAATTCCATCCATGTCATGTTTGAACAGGAGCTGCTGAACAACATGTGTGGAGATCTTTTACCGACCTGTGAGCAATACATCTCAAAAATAGTCCTCAAAGAATTTGGCACGGAACAGCTGCAAGAGGACGTCTTGGTAAATAAAACCAGTGGGGTTGTGAGTGGTTAAATTCTGAATATCAAATTTGGGGGTTCAGCCAGCCCACCGGAGGAAGCCTTAATAAAAGATTGGTCAAGGCAACCCCTTCTTTCCATTTTTTTTTTAAAAATTTGATTTATATGCTGCCCTTCTCCAGAGACTCAGGGCGGCTTACAATGTGCTCAGCAATAGCCTTCATCCTTTTGTATATTTATACAAAGTCAGCTTATTGCCCCCACAAACTGGGTCCTCAATTTACCTACCTTAGAAAGGATGGAAGGCTGAGTCAACCTTGAGCCTTGGCGAGATTCGCACTTACAGTAATTGCAGGCAGCTGGTCTTAATAACCAGCTTAATAACAGGGTGCCTTAGACCACCGTACTACCAAGACTCTTTAGCTAGACTTTCACCGAATCATCATCATCATTTAATGATCCTATAATCCCTTACGGGATGGAGTCTGGGCAATTGAATGGAGCTAGCAGAGCCTTTTAATGGCCGGATGCCTTTCCCGTTGCCAGTGCAGAGTTTTGTTTAGCAGTTACATTCTCAGTATGCCCCGAGAGAGAAATATCTGCCTCTACCGAACTCACAGCCTCTTGATTGGGAGGCGAGAGCTCCACCTCTAAGCCACCGCACCACTCTTAAGACTTTCACCGAATCGTATTTTACTACCCATTGTAGGATTCTCTTTCCAGTTGATGGCTTTGTTTCGTTTGGCAGGTGAGGCACCTCTTCACCTTGGGTGAGATTGCGCAGCTCTGTCCAGCCAAAGTGGACAAACGCGTCTTCTTGTTGATCCAATCCCTCTTGGCTAGTCCTGACAACATGGAACAGTGTAAGCTCTTCCTCCTCCTTCGGATGACCACCTTGCAGAGGGCGTGGTCTGCCTCCTATCCCCAAAAGTCCTTTCTTTATTGTGTGTGCGTGTGTTCTCTTCTAGTGTCCAGTCCTCCGGAGAATGAGGACCTCCCGGCGTCTCAACCGTTGTCACAATTCCAAGGCTCCGTGATGCCTTCTACAGTCAGAGCACATGCCTTCATTACTTTGGGTAGGACACCTAGGCATTTTTTTTTTGATTTGATTTATATGCCGCCCTTCTCCGGAGACTCAGCGCGGCTTACAATGCGTTAAGCAATAGCCTTCATCCTTTTGTATATTTATACAAAGTCAGTTTATTGCCCCCACAATCTGGGTCCTCATTTCACCTACCTTAGAAAGGATGGAAGGCTGAGTCAACCTTGAGCCTGGGGAGATTCGAACCTGCAGTAATTGCAGGCAGCTGGTCTTAATAACAGGGTGCTTTAGACCACTGTACTACCAAGGCTCTATTTTTTGGGGGGGGAGGGAAGGGGGGGAGAGGGGAGAAGGCTTGCCATATGCCCTCTTTTCTCTTAACACCCACTGATATAGCATGTTTGAATACCTTAAAATTGTATCCTCTGTGTTTCCATTTCATCTCAGTCCATAATGAAATGAAGATAATAGACAGCAAGACAATCTGGGAATATATATTCTGTGTTTGGGCTTGACTTCTCTTCTCTTCTCTTCCCTTCTCTTCCCTTCCCTTCCCTTCCCTTCCCTTCCCTTCCCTTCCCTTCCCTTCCCTTCCCTTCCCTTCCCTTCTCTTCTCTTCTCTTCTCTTCTCTTCTCTCCTCTCCTCTCCTCTCCTCTCCCCACTCTACTCTACTCAACTCTACTCTACTCCCACATCCTCTCCTTTACTCTCCCACCCTCTCCCCTCCCCTCCTCTCTTCTCTCCCACATCCTTTCCTCTCCCATCTCCTGCATCCTATCCTATCCTCCACTCTCCTTCTCCTCTCCCTTTCCCTCTCCTCTCCTCCCCTTCCCTCTCCTCTCCTTTCAAATTTAGTTGAACTAATGATTTCTTATCCCTCCCAAAATATGAAATAATAGTCTCCAGTGAGTTCCTATGGCACCTTAGGCATGAAAGCTTGCTAGATGACTTTGGGCCAGTCGCCAGGAGACTGGGAATTCTAGTCCCACCTTACACGTGGCAGGTGTGCTGGGTAACTTGGGGCCAATCACCAGGAGACCGCGAGTTTTAGTCCCGCCTTAGGCATAATAGCCAGCTGTATTAAAAGTAAAAAAAAAAAAAAAAGCTAGCCACGCCCACCCAGTCACATTACCACCGCCCCTAAGCCACGCCCACAGAACCGGTCGTAACAAATTTTACATTTCACCCCTGCAGGAAAGCTATGCCTGCAGCACGAGGACCTGGCGAAGAAGTGCATCGCGGCCTTGGCTCGCGAGCTGGAGGTGTCCAAGGACGTGGCCATCCGCAACAATGTGGTGATTGTGATGTGCGACCTCTGCGTCCGCTACACCACCATGGTGGACAGGTATATCCCCGACATTGCCATTTGCCTGAAGGATCCGGAGCCATTCATACGGAAACAGACGCTCATCCTCCTTACGAATCTCTTGCAGGTGAGGGGAAAGCAGAATGTCGGAATTTAAGCTTCTTCATTGTCTAGATTGGGCGTGCTCAGCTTTCAGGAAAATGTAGCACAGGGTGTTGAATTCATATTTTGTTGTTAGTTGTGAAGTTGTGTCCGACCCATCGCGACCCCATGGACAACGTTCCTCCAGGCCTCCCTGTCCTCTACCATCCTCTGGAGTCCATTTATGCTCACACCGACTGCTTCAGTGACTCCATCCAGCCACCTCGTTCTCTGTCGTCCCCTTCTTCTTTTGCCCTCCATCGTTCCCAGCATCTTCTCCAATGAGTCCTTCCTTCTCAGTAGGTGGCCAAAGCATTTGAGTTTCCTCTTCAGGATCTGGCCTTCTAAAGAGCAGCCAGGGTTGATCTCCTCTAGGACTGACCGGATGGATGGCCTTGCAGTCCAAGGGACTCTCAGGAGTCTTCTCCAGCACCAGAGTTCAAAGGCCTCCATTCTTTGGCACTCAGCCTTCCTTATGGTCCAACTTTCACAGCCATCCATTGCAACTGGGAAAACCATAGCCTTGACTATACGCACTTTTGTTGGCAGGGTGATGTCTCTGCTTTTTAGTATGCTGTCTAGATTTGCCATAGCTTTCCTCCCCAGGAGCAAGCGTCTTTTGATTTCTGCTTTCGCTTTCACCTTTCAGCCCTAATCACAGGGTGCTACATTTTCATTAGGAACAAAAACCTGGAATTCACCTTTCCTAGCATGGACTCAGGACAATCGTCCAGTTAATTCAAAGATGCCATCTTTGAAAACCTAAAAAAAGCTTCCGAAAAGGGGAAGGTGCAGGGGGGGGTTTGAGGAAACGTTTACGGCTTTGAGCAAATGTACATATATATATATATTGTAGGGAAGACAGTATCCATCTTTTCTATCCAAAGGGCTAATTGTTGTGCTGTTTTGGTTTGATTAGGAAGAATTTGTGAAATGGAAAGGCTCTCTCTTCTTCAGGTTCGTCAGTGTTCTGGTGGATCCCAATCCAGAAATTGCCAGGTAAGGAAGGTTTTTTGGGAAGTTGGTAGGGTTCGAAACTTGGTGGTGTCTCCATTCCTTCTGAAAATCTGGCAGAAGGTTCCAGCTAAGCCTTTTGTCCTTCAGGCGGTTTTTAGAAATATATATCTTCAGTTTCTTTTCTTTCTTTCTTTCTTTCTTTCTTTCTTTCTTTCTTTCTTTCTTTCCTTCCTTCCTTCCTTCCTTCCTTTCCTTTCCTTTCCTTTCCTTTCCTTTCCTTCCTTCCTTCTCCTTCCCTCCCTCCCTCCCTCCCATCTATCTTTCTTTCCTTCCTTCCTTCCTCCCTCCCTCCCTCCCTCCCATCTTTCTTTCTTTCTTTCTCTTTCTTTCTTTCCTTCCTTCCTTCCTCCCTCTCTCCCTCCCATCTATCTTTCTTTCCTTCCTTCCTTTCTTTCTTTCTTTCTTTCTTTCTTTCTTTCTTTCTTTCTTTCTTTCTGTCTTTCTTTCTGTCTTTAATTCTCTTAAGTCTTGCATGCATTAGGGTGCTAGAGAAAGCAGACATTATCTTATTAAATCAAGTCAAATATCTATTACAGTCATAAACCAGATAACTCTCCTTCCTTCCTTCTTTCCTCCCTCCCTCTCCTTCTCTCCTCTCCCACATCCTCTCCTCTCCTTTCCTCTCCTGCATCCTCTCCTCTCCTCTTCAACAAGAATTCTTAAGCCCTCTTCTCTAGAGTGATTAGTGAGACTGGGAACATCTTTCAAGAAACAAACAATTTTTAAAAACACTGACGATACAGGGAGCCAACTGACTTTTCCTTTCTCCACAATGTCTGAATTTAGGATGATATTATCCCATATCTTTCCAGCAGGGGGAAGTACAGCCTTATATCGTTCGCCTTCGCTTGGCTGAAATCTAGTTTAGATTGGTTGCGTTTGATTAAAAAGCAGGAGGCGTTGATACCCGCTGTTTTATTTATGCTCGGGATAATTCTTTAAACAAACACTTGGCAACTGTACTTGTAGGGCTTTTCAGTCCATTGTGTAAACTTGCATGAAAGTACAGTAAAAATAACAATGGTTCCAGAGTCTGTGCGGGATTCTGTGTACAGAAAGAGGAGGAGAATGCATTTTCCACCGTGGCACATGCCACTATTTTTAAAGGAATACCCAAGTATGAAGAACGGTTGCAGGAACTGGGCATGGCTAGTCTAGTGAAGAGAAGCACCAGGGGAGACATGATAGCAGTCTTCCAATATCTGAGGGGCTTCCACAAAGAGGAGGGGGTCAAGCTATTCTCCAAAGCACCTGAAGGCCAGAGAAGAAATAATGGATGGAAACTGAACAAGGAGAGATTCAACCTGGAAATAAGGAGAAATTTCCTGACAGTGAGAACAATCAACCAATGGAACAGAAGTTGCCTTTGGAAGTTGTGGGAGCTTCATCACTGGAAGCTTTCAAGAAGAGACTGGACTGCCCTTTGTCAGAAATTGTGTAGGGTCTTCTGCTTCAGCAGGGGGTTGGACTAGATGACCTACAAGGTCCCTTCCAACTCTGTTAATCTGTAAACTGTAACATCAATGGGGGAAAACCAGTTTCACTTAACAACCCTATGACTAATTTAACAAAACGCAGCGAATCACTTTGAATCGTTGCAAGGAAGGTCGTAAAATGGGGCAAAGCTCACTTAACAAATGTCTCGGTTAGCGACGGAAACGCGGGGCTCAATTGTGGTTGTAAGTCGAGGACTGCCTGTATGAACCTTTCGCCCAATAAGATTTAATTTTCCTACTTCCCTTTTATGTTCCCTCTTGCAGATTCACTCTCCTCACTTCAAAAGTCTTGTTTATATACAGTAGTGGCCAAAATTGTGGAAAATCTTTTTGGGAAAAGTGTATTTTTGAGGTTTGATGGCTAATAGCACCATTTTTTATTTTTTTATTTTTTTTGAGTTTCAAGATAATCCTATTCCACTGCTGGAATGGCCTGGGAATAGCCCAGATCTTCTTAACCCAGTTGAAAATCTATGGAGCCAACTAAAGAAACTTGTTAGTCAGAAGCAACCCAGCAAGAAAACCCAGTTCATAGAAGCCATCATTCAATCTTGGTTTCACATGATTACAGCTGCAGAACTCAAAGACTTGGTTCATTCCATGGGAAGACGTTCTAAGGCCGTCATTCATGCTAAAGGTTACCCAGCTAAGTATGAATTGACGTGGTGATCATTTTTGTATATCTCATTTTTTTCTACGTGTTTCACTTTTCTTCTTTATACTGTAACTGCTGTTCTAATAGCAAATCCTTCCTAAAAGTTATTGCATTACATTCTTGATTAAATTATTTTTCCACTGATGTATAATTTTATGGTACTACTCCCCAAAAAAAAAAAAAAAAGTGGTGTTATTAGCTAGTTATAGAAAATACATTTTTCCCAAAAGGTTTCCACAATTTTGGCCGCTATTGTAATTAAGTTAAATCTGTAGCCATGAACGTCTCCTCTGAGGAACTATATGTAAAAACTACCCAGCTGAGAATGGGAATATTTTTCAATAAAAGTCCACACATTGGGCTGCGAACAGGGGAAAAAAATATTCATTTTCTTTCTCTTTAAAAAAAAAAAAAAACCAAAATCCTAAATATTGAGGTTCTGAGATCAGACTCAAGGCAAGTAGACTCGGTTCTTAATAAGATTTAGTTATCGTGAGTGACTAGTTAATTACCTCAAACATTGTAATTACTGACGGTGTTTACTGTTCTATGGAGTTATTTCTCCCTTTAATTATGCTGGATTATAATTAGAAGGAAAATTGTAGGATGAGCCCTCAAAGCTTTTGCTAAAGAGTTCAGGGTAAGGGAAGGGCACCGAAACAAGCTGCCTGGTTTTTAAGAACATTTTAAGCAAGGCGATTCACTGGAGGAGATTTTCCGAACTGGGAGAGGAGAGATCTCAGGTTTCAACACAGCTCTGATTTATGGTTGCTTTGGTGTCACGCCAGTGGCCCCCCACCCTCTTAGCATTGTGCCAGCATCCATAATAATAATAATAATAATAATAATAATAATAATAATAATAATAATTAATAATAATAATAATAATAGTAATAATAATAGTAATAATAGTAATAATAGTAATATTTTTTTTCTATACCGCCCTTCCCGAAGGACTCAGGGCAGTGTACAGCCAATTTAAAAACACAAGACACAACAATGATTAAAAATTAAAATAATTAAATAGATTTGGCTGGTTTAAAACCCCAAAAATTTAAAATACCCCAATTTAAAATCATTATGTTGATAGCGCGGCCTGGCGGAACAACAGGGTCTTCAATGTGCAACGAAACACCCGGAGGTCGGAGATCTTACGTATTTCCGGGGGCAGTTCATTCCACAGGGCTGGGCCTCCCCCTGGGTGTCGCCAGCCGACATAACTTGGCTGATGGCACCCTGAGGAGACCCTCTCTGTGGGAGCGGACTGGCCGGTGGGAAGCTACTGGTGGCAGAAGTCGGTCTCGAAGGTACCCAGGTCCAATGCCATGGAGCACTTTAAAGGTGGTAACCAACACCTTGAATCGCACCCGGAAGACCACTGGGAGCCAGTGCAGCTCGCGCAGGAGGGGTGTCACGCGGGCACAACGAGTTGCGCCCATAACCACCCGCGCGGCCGCATTCTGGACCAGTTGCACCCTCCGAGTGCTCTTCAAGGGGAGCCCCATGTAGAGAGCATTACAATAGTCCAGCCAGGAGGTGACAAGGGCATGAGTGACCGTGCACAATGTAGAGAAGAGTCTGCAGCTTTTGTTTGTTTGTTTGTTTATTAATTAATTAATTAATTAATTAATTAATTAATTACATGTATTTATACCGGAATACCGCCAATAGCCTCCCACCGGCCGGTTCGCTCGCACAGAGAGGGCCTCCTCAGGGTGCCGTCGGCCAGACAACGTCAGCTGGCGACCCCCAGGGGGAGAGCCTTCTCTGTGGTGGCACCTGCCCTCTGGAATGGCCTACCCCCCAGAGATACACACGATACCAGGCCTCCGGACTTTTCATCGGACTCCGAAAACACATCTATTTCATCTAGCCGGGCTGGCTTGACCCCATCCTTGCGGTTTTAAATTTGAAATTGGTTTTAACTGGGTTATTTTAAATTGATGGCCAACATTATTTAATGTTTTTTAAACTGCTTTTAAATTTTATATATTGTATTTCACCGTGGCTGTTCACCGCCCTGAGTCCTGTTGGAGAAGGGCGGTATACAAAATAAATAAAATAAAATAAAATAAAATAAATAAAATAAAATAATAAAATAAAATAAAATAAAATAAAATAAATATGGCGCCATTCTCCCGAAGGACTCAGGGCGGCGAACACAAGTTAAGAAACAAGTACAATAAAATCCCATTTTAAACCAAATAACTAATTAATAATAATAAAATCCGGAATCAGAGTCAGCCTATTTGTTTGAACAGCCAAGTCGTCAGGTTCCGACGGAAGGAACGGAGATCAGGAGCTAAGATAAGTATCTTAGTTGATACTTCATGGGAAAAATTAAGCGGCTGACCGTGTTAAAAAAAATAACAACAATCAGGATTTCACATCCAATGGTCCAGTAATATTGGATTCCCTGAGTGATAGTGGATTCCAGAGGTGGTATTCAGCAGGTTCTGACCAGTTCTGGAGAACCAGTAGTGGAAATTTTGAGTAGTTCGGAGAACCGGCAAATGCCATCTCTGACTGGCCCCGCCCCCATCTATTCTCTGCCTCCTGAATCCCGGTTGATCGGGAGGAAATGGGGATTTTGCAGGAACCCGGACAGGCGTTTTCTTCAGTGCTGTCATTTTCTTGGCCCTTCTTCCCTCTCCAGCTTCGTCAGGTTCTGCTTGGTGCATCTCCTCCTCAAAAGGAATCCGGTCATGTTTTCTCAGCACTTCATCGAATGCATCTTCCATTTCAACGGCTACGAGAGGCACGAGAAATACAACAAGTTCCTCCAGAGCGAAAGGTCGGTGAATATGGTTTATTTGCATCCTGCCTTGCTTTCTTTTTACAGATAACTCGAGGTGGCAGACATACTTTCCTCTTCCTATTATCCCCACAACGACAACTTTTGTGAGGTGGGTTGGGCCAAAGTCAACCAGTTGACATTCCTGGCTGTGGCAGGACTAGAACTCACAGGCTCCTGGTGATTGGCCCAAAGTCACCCAGTTGGCTTTCACAGCTAAGGCAGGACTAGAACTCAGAATTTCCTGGTGATTGGCCCAAAGTCACCCAGTTAGCTTTCACAGCTAAGGCAGGACTAGAACTCACAATCTCCTGGTGATGGGTTCAAAGTCACCCAGTTGGTTTTCATAGCTAAGGTAGGACTAGAACTCACAATCTCCTGGTGATTGGCCCAAAGTCACCCAGTTGGCTTTCACAGCTAAGGCAGGACTAGAACTCACAATCTCCTGGTGATTGGCCTAAAGTCACCCAGTTGGCTTTCAAAACTAAGACAGGACTAGAACTCACAATCTCCTGGTGATTGGCCCAAAGTCACCCAGTTGGCTTTCATGCCTAAGGCCGAACTACAACTCACAGCCTCCCACTTTCTAACCCGGTGCCTTAGAAGAAAATCAGTCTGGACCATGCATGAGAAGAAAAGGGCTGAAGCTGGAGACAGATGAGAAGCCTGGGGACAGGAGACATTCTCTGATTCTAGAGAAGAGGGCTTTTGAGGTAGCTCAGAGATCACAGTTCTTTTTAGCTGAGAATCAGGGTTGAGTCTTTGAATGGGGGGCCCCAGGCCACACTCTTAAGAACTGGTGGGGCCAGGATGGAACCTTCAGCTGAATTGAAATGGAATTTAATACACTGAATACTGTATTTTTCGGGCTATAAGATGCACCGGAGTGTAAAACGCACCAAGATTTCAAAGAGGTAAACAAGAAAAAAATATGTTTTTGCCCTCCCCAGGCCCCAGGAGCACTCTGCAGGCCTCCAAAATCCTCTGCAGACCTTGTTTTCACAAAAACGGGGGCCTGCAGAGTGCTCCTGGGGGCTGGGGAGGGCAAAAATGCCCCCGTTTTCACAAAAAATGGGAGCATTTTTGGACTCCCAAACTCCCCCATGTGTCGCATTTTTGCCCTCCCCAGTCCCCAGGAGCACTCTGCAGGCCTCCCCAACCCTCTGCAGGATCCGTTTTTGCGAAAAACGGGCCTGTTTATGGCAAAAACGGGACATGCAGGATGAGGTTTTGGGAGGCCAAAAATGGCTGTATTCGGTGTATAAAATGCACCAACATTTCCACCCTCTTTTTTGGGGGGGGATGCATCTTACATTCTGAAAAGTACGGTACATTCCCTCCCCGTGCATTTAATTATTTTCTCCTGCCTTTCTATGAACAATTACAAGGGCTGGTTGTTTCAGAAAAAAATTCACTTGGGGAGAGCCTGAAGTTCAGTTGTCCAGCTGTCAGGTGCATTTTCCCCACAACTCCACCTTAACAATCCTCAGGGGCCTCTCTCTCCGGCCATGAGTGAATGCAGGGAGTGGCTCTTTGCGTGTCTTGCTCAACTCCTGGATTTTGTTTCTCTTGCAACAGGGAGAAGAACCTCTTTTCCCTGAAGGGCAAAGCCAACAAAGGGCCCCGGATGCAGATCTACAAGTTCCTCCTGGAGCATTTTACCGACGAACAGCGATTCAACATCACCTCCAAAATTAGCCAGAACGTCCTGGGTACGGCTGAAGTTTTAAAGCAGGGATCCCCAACCCCTGAGTCGTGGCCTATTTGCAACCGGGCCACGGGCCACTGCATACGCACTTGCACTCAAGCTGTGTGTACATGCCGGTTTGTGCTGCCCGGTTCCCTCTCCTCCCTCAAGCTGGGCTGCCAACCTGCAAAAGATGGGGACTGTGCTATTCAGCAGGTTCTGACAGGTTCTGGAGAACCCATAGCGGAAATTTTGAGTAGTTCGAAGAACCGGCAAATACCACCTCTGGCTGGCCCCAGAGTGGGGTGGGAATGGAGATTTTGCAATATCCTTCCCCCCAGGAGTGAGGAGGGATGGGGATTTTGCAGTATCCTTCCCCCAGGAGTGGGGAGGGAATGGGGATTTTGCAGTATCCTTCCCCCAGGAGTGGGGAGGGAATGGGGATTTTGCAGTATCCTTCCTGTGGAGTGGGGAGGGAATGGGGATTTTGCAGTATCCTTCCGAGTGGGGTGGGAATGGAGATTTTGCAGTATCCTTCCCCCAGGAGTGGGGAGGGAATGGGGATTTTGCAGTATCCTTCCCCTGGAGTGGGGTGGGAATGGAGATTTTGCAATACCCTTCCCCTGGAGTGGGATGGGAATGGAGATTTTGCAATACCCTTCCCCTGGAGTGGGATGGGAATGGGGATTTTGCAGTATTCTTCCCCCAGGAATGGGGAGGGAATGGGGATTTTTTACTATCCTTCCCCCAGGAGTGAGGAGGGAATGGGGATTTTGCAATATCCTTCCCCTGGAGTGGGATGGGAATGGGGGTTTTCCAGTATCCTTTTCTCCATCATCTAGGCAAAGGGTGTCAAACTCGATTTCATTGAGGACTATATCAGGGTTGTATTTGACCTTGGGGGGCCGGGGTGGGCGTGGCCAGGGTGCATGTGGCCAACTCAACGTCACGCGTATCAGGGGTGCCTGTGGCGGCCCGAGCGCTCTGCCAGTGAAAACGGGCTCCCGAGCTCCGTTTTCGGCTGCAACGGCCTCCTGCAACCCTCCGCCAGTGAAAATGGAGCTCAGGAGGACCCTCCCGAGCTCCGTTTTTGCTGGCAGAGGCACCGCAGGCTGGTCCTTTGCTGTTTCCAGGGCAGCCCCGTGGACCAGATCTAAGCACCCCCGGGCCTTGAGTTTGTCCCCTCTGCTCTAGGTCATGGTCATCCCAAAGGTGTTTTTCCAAGAGGCAACTGGACTCTCTGGTTATTATTATTCCTTCTCATCCAAGAAAGCTTCTCACCATTTCATATTCTCCCTTTCCTTTCTCCAAAATCTGATGGCAGCCTGCTTTGTGGACGGCGTCCTCCCGCTCAATATGGAAGCCAGCCAGCTGCTCTCGGATACCTTTGAGATCTTGAGCTGCAAAGAGATCAAGCTCTCGGCCATGAGATCCAGACCAGAAGAAGACATCCAGCCGGAAGAAGATGAATTGGCCATGGCCAATGCCGTCATGCAGGTGGCCCAGAAGAAGCTCATTTCACAAGTGAGTCTTAAAAATAGCGCCGCCTGGAGTAGGTTGTTCCCTTTTTTACTTGCCCCAGAACAAAATAATTGGCAGTTTCAGTGGGAAGAGACCAGAGGCGGGTCTCAGCAGGTTCTGACCAGTTCTGGAGAACCGGTAGCGGAAATTTTGAGTAGTTCGGAGAACCGGTAGTAAAAATTCTGACTGGTTCTGCCCCCATCTATTCTCTGCCTCCCAAGTCCCAGCTGATTAGGAAGAAATGGGGATTTTGCAGTATCCTTCCCCTGGATTGGGGAGGGAATGGAGATTTTACAGTATCCTTCCCCCGCCACGCCCACCAAGCCACGCCCACCAGGCCATGCCGCATCCACCAAGTCACACCCACACAACCGGTAGTAAAAAAAAATTGAAACCCACCGCTGGAAGAGAGACGCCTCACTTCCCATCTTGCTCGTCATGCTACAAGTCACCATTATTGGAAACGTTCTCATTTTTCATTTTTTTTTATTACTTTATAATATAGCATACAACGAAATGCAAAAATAAATAGTAGAAGTTTGGAAAGGGAAGCGGAAGGTAGGGGAAAGCAAGGGGAAAAAAGGAAAAAATAAAGGCATTGACTTCCGACTCCGTTTGGTGGAGTGGAATAAGGCATTAAGATCTAACCTCAGCTTTTTACTTTGACATAATAGTATAAACTAGCCATTTCTCTAAGAACAAATCTCTCTAATCGGTAAAACCCAAAACCAAAGTTTCATTTTTTTTTTTCCACCTCAAGCACAAAGTCCAGAAACGGTTTCCAAGTGATTCCTGGAAATGTTCTCAAATACTCAAAGTTGATCCCATCTCTACGAAGGCTTTCCTCATTGTTTTTATTTCATCAAGCTGGCCTGGCCTAAATCTTCTCCTCTTTTAAATTTAAATTTTAAATACAAATTTTAATTATGGGGTATTTTAAAATTCAGCCAAATTATTTAATTCGTTTTAATCTATTTTAAATTTTGTATCTCTGTGTTTTATCTTCTGGCTGTTCCCCGCCCTGAGTCCTTCGGGAGAAGGGCGGTATAGAAATTTAATAAAATAAATAAAATAATAAATAAAATTGTGTGCGCTCTCCATTGTTTGGGGGTAGACAGCCTTCTTCGCCTAAACATATCTCTCTGTGTTCCATCCGAATTCTAGGTCCAAAAGAAGAATTTCATCGAAAACGTCATCCCCATCATCACTTCGCTGAAGAGCTTGTTGGAGCAAAGCAAACTCCCAGCGTTGAAGGACCTCATGAGCTACCTCCGGGTAATCTTTCTCAGCCGGAGATACGCCATTAAAATTTGAGTCGGGGGGCAGCACGTTCCTGAAGCTCGTGGGAAATATTGCTATCCCATCTGGAGAGTGTGTGGAGAGTGTGTGGTAGTGGCACGTTCCACGTTCCACCATGCAAGCCAAGTGTAGAGATAGTCAATCTGATTTAGCTAAGACAATACTTTATTTATTGGCGCCGTGCTTTGAATGCAGGCTAATTCTGCCAGCTGCCAGCAGTTCGATTCTCACCAGGCTCAAGGTTGACTCACCCTTCCATCCTTCCGAAGTCGGTAAAATGAGGACTCAGATTGTTGGGGGGCAAGATGCTGACTCTGTAAACCGCTTAGAGAGGGCTGTAAAAGCCCTGTGAAGCGGTATGTAAGTCTAAGTGCTATTGCTTATAGAAGTGTTTTCAACTTTGGCAACTTCATGGGTGAACTTCAACTCCCAGAATTCCCTAGTCACCTCACAGGGTTGTTGTTGTTGTTGTTGTGGGGGAAAATAGGAGGAAGGAGTCTTAGCTATGTTGGCCACCTTGAATTGTTCATAAAAATAATAAAGGCAGGATATATAAACTAAATAAATAAATAAATCGACTCAGATCAATCCAGAAAACTCAGGAGTGGGCTGCTGGGGGTTCGCAGGGGTTCGGGAGAACCTCTAGCTAAGATTCTGTGCAGTTCGGAGAACCCCCAAATCCCACTCCTGGCTGGCCTCGCCCACCCCTCCCCTCCCAGGAGTCACCACACGGCCCATTTTGGATGCAGGTAAGTGCAGGGCGCACGGAGAGGGCGAAAAACGGGCCTACCAGAAGTTTGGAAACCTGGGGAGGCCGCTTTCGTCTTCCCGCAGGCTCGAGGAAAGCCTCTGGAGCCCGGGGAGGGCAAAAACACCCCATCCCCCCGCTGTGGTGCAGGAGGCTGACTAGGCCACGCCCACCATGGTCACGCCCACCCAGCAACCAGGCAGAGAACCCCTTGCTAAAATTTTTGAAACCCACCCCCGAGAAAACCCGACCAGCGATCCCCTTCCTGCCCTCTCCCAACTCTTTCGCTTTTATTTTTTTGCTTTCCTCCAGGAGGTGATGCAAGACTATCGCAACGAAATCAAGGAAGTCTTCGCCCTGGACAAGCAGCTGGCGGCCGAGCTGGAGTACGATATGAAGAAGTACGAGGAGCAGCTGGAGAGGGAGGCTGAGCAAGGCCAGGAGCTGAGCGTGGATCGCGTGGAAGGCCACAACACACCGATGGCCAGGCCGGTACGGATCTCCTGTTCGGCTGTGGTTCAAGTCCCATTGAGCCAGTGGCAGTTCTGTGGCGTGGCTTGGTGGTGGGGGGATAATGTGACTGGGTGGGCGTGGCCATTTTTATTTTTATTTTTTTACTTTTAAAACCATTTTTTCTACAACCTCTTCGGCGAAGAGGTTGTAAAAAAATGCTTTCAAAAGGCTCTGACGATCCCAGCTGAGTTGCCCGATCGGCAGAGGCTTTTTTTTCTTTTAAGTGCCTCTGACGATCAGGCAACTCAGCTGGGATCGTCAGAGGCATTTAAAAGAAAAAAAGGGTTTTTTTTTTCTTTTAAAAGCCTTTGACGATCCCAGCTGAGCCGCACGATCATCAGAGGCTTTTTTTTTTTTTTTTTACTTTTTAAAGCATTTGTTCGGCGGAAGAGGTTGTAGAAAAAAATGCTTTTAAAAGTTAAAAAAGAAGCCTCTGATGATTGCGCGGCTCAGCTGGGCATGGGGGAGAGGGGCAGGGATTTTTGCTGCCGGTTCTCCGAACCACCCGCCTCCATCGCTATCAGATCGGGCGATCCAGTCCGAACTGGGAGCATTTCACCCCTGCATTGAGCTCACTTTGAAGCCATTAGAATTAAAAGCACTTTTTAAAAAGTTTTTCCCATGAAGTGGAGTGGGGCATTATACAGTCAACTTACCGCCACCATTGAGCCCGTAATTTATGTGCTACTAAGCAAGTGGGTCATGAAGTGAGTTTTGCCCCATTTTACGACTTTTCTTGCCACGGTTTGTAAAGGGAACCTGTTTTCCCATTGACTTTGTAGTATAGTCTTTATTGTCATTGTACGTCGTATATACAACGAAATTGGTTGTCGGAAGGTCGCAAAAGGGATCTCGTGAGCAGGGATACTACGACTGTCCTAAATATGAACCAGTTGCCAATATCCTAATTTTGATCATGTGACCACGGGGATGTTGCAATGGCCGTAGGTGTGAACAGTCATTTATGTCAGTGTTGTGGCCCGTCAGCAGCCCTGTGCAGATTGTAGCTGATTCCGACAGCAAGGAGGCTGGTGTGGTGTGCTGCGCCAGCAGCCTGTGCAGCTGGCGCTCGAGTCGGACAGTGAGGAGGCTGGAGAAGATGTGGTGCCAGAGGCAGGGATTCAGTCAGGGCCTTCAGAACCTCCAGAAGCTCCTTTAAGTGAAGAGGACGAAGAGGAGGAGCCTCTTCTCAATGCACGGGCGCGCAAAGCTGCCAAAAAGCAGGAGTGGCTCCTCAGGAGGAGGTCTCCTCGAGAGTAAGGCTTGGGGCTAATTGGCCACTCCCTTAGCCTATTTAAGGAGGAACGCCAACTGAAGCAATTTGCAGGGAACAACTTCGTTCACATACCTTTGTGTCTTGTCTTGCTTATCTTATCAGTTTCCTGCAAATTGCTTCTGGGCATTCTGCCAACCATAGTAAGCTTTCAGTTATTATTCTTTGAATTCTTGGTCGCTGTTAATGCAGTTAATTAACAGACGTTGTAAAACACTGGTTTAGTTTAATCTGCTTCGCGTCTGGATTCTCTGCAAAATTGTTTCTGGGCTTTCTGCCAACTCTAGTAAGACTGTGATTACCTTATCTTAGAAATCTGGTAGGCTGTTAAGACAGTTTATTAACAGCCTTTGGTTGATAAAGACTAAGTTACTTGAGTAAAATAAAGCTTTGTATAGAGTTTGTGTGTGCTGCGTTCTTTGGGGTCCGTAGCTGGGGCAGAACAGTCAATGTCGTTGTAACTTCGAACGGTCACTAAACAGGAACAGAGTTGGAAGGGACCTTGGAGGTCATTTAGTCCAACCCCCTGCTCATGCAGGAGACCTTCTAGGCCGCCTTTAGGTGTGAAAGCCAGCGAATGGCTGTAAGTCTAGGATTGCCTGCAGGGCATTGCAGCCGTGACTTCTGAAGGATTTCTCCCCTGAAGCCAGAGCAGGTCATCGGGGGCAGAAAGCAGCTGTGCAGAGGCCATGGCATCTAGATTTGGCACATCTGGTTATAGCAGCTTTAGATTTCCTTCTCTTCTCCCCATTGTATTGATTTTTTAAAAAAATTGTAATTTCCAGCGAGCATGTTTGGGGAATGATGGGAATTGTACTCCCAATATACCATACCCTGTTTCTGAAAATAAAACCCAACTGGAAAATAAGCCCTAGAGTGATTTTTCAGGATGCTCATAATATAAATATAAAGCATACTAAAAAGCAGAGATATCACCCTGCCAACAAAAGTGCGTATAGTCAAGGCTATGGTTTTCCCATATTTACTTCATGTGTTATCTATATATATAAAAGTGAAAACCACTCATACATTAATCACGAAATCTCCAGAACCGTAAAGCCTACAAACTTGAAATTTGCCGCGTATGTTCGTCTTGGCTTCTAGGTGCTCACTAAGAAAGGATTTTTCGAAATGACCATCAGATCATTAGTATTTCCTACATTATTATTAACATGCTCTGGTGCTAAGGAGTTCTACTCCACTCCCTATCTGAAAAGAAATCTGTTCCAATGCTAAACACAAGCAGAGGAGAGGAGTTTCACTTTCAGTTTTACTTTCACAGCAGGAAGCAGCTTTACTACAGAATAGTTGAGCTAAGCCATGCCCAGCCTCCTTCCTGTCTCCTTCTTGCTCACATAGCAAATAATGTTTGAGTTTCCAAACACCCCTCAACCCGCTCACACACTGACAGGATGCTAGCCAGATGAGTACCAATGGATGCTGTGGGCTGGGACATTCTGCTCCCCTCCACCTCTGTTCCAACTGCCAGTTGCATTATATTAACACACTCTTATGCTACGGAATTACCCATTCTACATTAAGTTGCAGGGTGTCAGTGTCAATTTATCAAGCCCGAGCACATAGTTTTGTAGCGAAGCACGGGCATCCAGCTAGTATTATATATAAAGGGAAGTTAATGAATCCTGCTGAATCGGTTACCTGTGTGTGCTTTCTGGATTTGATTTCTGCAACAAACATACCACAATGGTCCTTTTAGCCCCTTTCTGTTTTCTCCTTTAAATAACAGCCTTCCACCTTGGGGAGGACTTCACATCCTCGGAATCAGATGGATGAGGCCTCTCCGCTTGCCCAAAGCAATTCTCCACCTCTGCGGTCTCCTCTCTCAGCTCTGCCTATGTTTACCGTTCCCGGGCCGGAGCCACGAAGCAAAGACCCAGGTACCCTTCTGGACCCTCCCCTTCCTTTTCAGCACGTGTTGCACGAAAACGCGCTTAATCTGTTTCCCACGGAGCGTTTATAATACCGACTCCGCCACTCGGCAAGGGAGGCTTGAAGCTCCAAAGGTTGGGATGAAAGGGTCGGCCATGCTCTGTTTGTTCCCCTCCTAGGAATTTGTCCCTGAGTACTTTCGCCATCCTCAACTCCGCTAAGAAGGCCGCTGAGGCCATGAAAGTGAAGCGTGGCAGGAGCATGGGCACCAGGCTGGAATCTCTGGGGAGCGGACAAAGCGATAAAGGTAGGTTGCTCTCCAACCAGCTTGGTCTAGTGGTTAAGGCACCAGGCTAGAAAATGGGAGATGGGGGGTTCTAGTTCTGCCTTAGGCATGAAAGCCAGCTGGGTGACTTTGAGCTAATCACCAGGTGCCAGTGAATTCTAGTCCCAACTTCGGCCTGAAAGCCACTTGGGTGTCTTTGAGCTAATCACCAAGGAGGTAGTGAATTCTAGTCCTACCTTAGGCATAAAAGCCATCTAGGTGACTTTGAGCTAATCACCAGGTGCCAGTGAATTCTAGTCCCATCATCGGCATGAAAGCCACTTGGGTGTCTTTGAGCTAATCACCAGGTACCAGGGAATTCTAGTCCTGCCTTAGGCATGAAAGCCAGCTGGGTGACTTTGAGCTAATCACCAGGTACCAGGGAATTCTAGTCCCGCCTTTGGCATGAAAGCCACTTGGGTGTCTTTGAGCTAATCACAAGGAGGTAGTGAATTCTAGTCCTACCTTAGGCATGAAAGCCAGCTGGGTGTCTTTGAGCCAATCACCAGGTACCAGGGAATTCTAGTCCCGCCTTCGGCATGAAAGCCCTTGGGTGTCTTTGAGCTAATCACTAGGAGGTAGTGAATTCTAGTCCTGTCTTAGGCATGAAAGCCAGCTGGGTGACTTTGAGCTAATCACCAGGTGCCAGTGAATTCTAGTCCCACCTTTGGCATGAAAGCCAGTTAGGTAACTTTGAGTCAACCATCAGGAGCCAGTGAATTCTAGTCCTTCCTTAGGTAAAAAAAACCATCTGGGTGACTTTGAGCCAATCACTCTCTGTCCGCTGAACTCACGTCTCAGGGTTGTTTTCGTTGGGGAAATAGGGGGTGGAAGATATGTTGCATATGTTTCCTGCCTTGAGTTATTTGTAGAAATAATAAAGGCAGGATAGAAATCAATAAATCAATAAGTAAAGAGAGTGTAGAAAGCTAGGGGAGAGGGCTAACATACTGCGGATATTTTCTGAGGCTAACATTATCTTTTCCCCCCTCCTTCTTAGCTTCCTTTTGCAGCCTGAACCGACCGTCTTCCATAACCAACGGACCCTTGGAAGGCCGCGCGATCAGTACTCCTGAACGTAAGTGTCTTTTTTTTAAAAAAAAAAAAAATCCCTATTTTTGTTTGAAAGTCTCCTTGCTTGGAGGAAGGGCAGCTCGATTGCTCCCGAGATACTCTTAATTTGAGCATTGCCTTCCCAAACATATATCTCAATGCCACTGGCAGCCAGTTCGAAAAGGACAAGTGAGGTTTCAAATAGAATAACAGAGTTGGAAGGGACCGTGGAGGTCTTCTAGTCCAACCCCCTGCTTAGGCAGGAAACCCTACACCACCTCAGACAAATGGTTATCCAACATCTTCTTAAAAACTTCCAGCGTTGGGGCATTCTGGAGGCAAGTTGTCCCACTGGTTAATTGTTCTAACTGTCAGGAAATTCCTTCTTAGTTCTAGGTTGCTTCTCTCCTTGATGAGTTTCCACCCATTGCTTCTTGTCCTGCCCTCAGGTGCTTTGGAGGATAGCTTGACTCCCTCTTCTCTGGGGCAGCCCCTGAGATATTGGAACCCTGCTATCATGTCTCCCCTGGTCCTTCTTTTCACCAGACTAGACATACCCAGTTCCAACAACCGTTCTTCATATGTTTTAGCCTCCAGTCCCCTAATCCTCTTTGTTGCTCTTCTCTGCACTCTTTCTAGTCTCAACATCTTTTTTACATCGTGGTGACCAAAACTGGATGCAGGATTCCAAGTGTGGCCTTACCAAGGCCTTATAAAGTGGTATTAACACTTCACATGATCTTGATTCTATCCCTCTGTGTATGTTGGCTTTTTTTTTTTTAAATTTGATTTATATGCCGCCCTTCTCCGGAGACTCAGGGCGGCTTACAATGCGTTAAGCAATAGCCTTCATCCTTTTGTATATTTATACAAAGTCACTTATTGCCCCCACAATCTGGGTCCTCATTTCACCTACCTTAGAAAGGATGGAAGGCTGAGTCAACCTTGAGCCTTGGCGAGATTCGAACCTGCAGTAATTGCAGGCAGCTGGTCTTAATAACCAGCTTAATAACAGGGTGCCTTAGACCACTGTACTACCAAGGCTCTTGGTAGTACAGTGCTGCACACTGCTGGCTCATATTTAAATGGTTGTCCACTAGGACTCTACTCAAGGATGCCCTACCAGGTGCCTTTTCAATTAGCATTGTTTATAGTCACCCTTTGGAGTCGCACAATTCGTGACATTTTCAGGAATACATTTTAAAATGCTTACTTGGCATCCGAGCCGACATCTCTGCGGGTGTCCCAAAGCACTTCATGTTGTAATTGTAGTAACTAAAAGTGCAAATGGAACTTGCGGAAAACAAGCATATATAAATTGCAGCGGTGAGGCCACCGGGCCTTCAGATTCTGATGGCACCAAAGAGGAGTTTTGCATTTTTGGATGTTCAGTGGAGCTCATCACCATGTACAAACGGACCTAGCAAACAACTCAAGGTGGTGAGAAATATCTAGCATACCTTCCTTCTCCCACTTTCCCCGTAACAACAACTCTGTGAGGTGGGTTGGGCTGAGTGAGACTGACTGGTCCAATTTCAGCCAGCTGACTTTCAAGGCTAAGGCAGGATTAGAACCCACCGTCTCCTGCTTTTCTAGCCTGGTGCCTTCGCAACTAGACCAAACTGGCTCCCTTAGGTCATAATCTTTCTTAAATATGTGTTTAACTCCTCCTTTCCCCCTTTGTTATTGTTAGCAATAGCACTTAGACTTATATACTGCTTCACAGTGCCTTACAACCCTCTCTAAGCGGTTTACAGAGTCAGCATCTTACCCTCAACAATCTGGGTCCTCATTTTACCAACCTCGGAAGGATGGAAGGCTGAGTCAACCTTGAACCGGTCAGGATCGAATTGCTGGCAGTGGGCAGAGTTAGCAATAGCACTTAGACTTATATACCTCTTCATAGTACTTTACGGCCCTCTCTAAGCGGTTCACAGAATCGGCATCTTGCCCCCAACAATCTGGGTCCTCATTTTACCGACCTCAGGAGGATGGAAGGCTGAGTCAACCTTGAGCCGGTCAGGATCGAACTGCCGAACTGTGAGCAGAGTTAGCCCTGCAGCACTGCATTCTAACCATTGCACCACCACAGCTGGTTGGCTGGTTAAGTGACCTTCCTTGGTGAAAAGGCCACGTATAAATGTAATAACTGCAGAAAAAATGATTACTACCAACCTGCCTTCCATTGAGGACCTGTATACTGCATGAGTCAAAAAGAAAATATTTATAGACTCCTCGCATCCTGGACATCAACTGTTTCAAGTCCTTCCCTCAAAACGACACTATAGAGCACTGCACACCAGAACAACTAAACACAAGAACAGTTTTTTTCCCAAACGCCATCACTCTGCTAAACAAATAATTCCCTCAACACTGTCAAACTAGTTACTAAGTCTGCATTACTATTAATCTTCTCATCGTTCCTATCACCCACCTCCTCCCACTTATGACTGCATGACTGTAACTTGTTGCTGTATCCTTATGATTTATATTGTTTCCTAGTATGATTCGATTGCTTATTTGTACCCTATGACTATCATTAAGTGTTGTACCTTAGGATTCTTGACGAAAGTATCTTTTCTTTTTATGTACACTGAGAGCATGTGCACCAAAGACAAATTCCTTGTGTGTCCAATTACACTTGGTCAATAAAGAATTCTGTTCTGTTCTGTTCTATTCTTCATTCCAATATCTAATCTAATCTATTCTATTCTATTCTACTCTACTCTACTCTGCTCTACTCTATTCTTCATTCCAATATCTATTCTATTCTATTCTATTCTACTCTACTCTACTCTATTCTTCATTCCAACTTCTATTCTATTCTACTCTACTCTACTCTACTTACTCTACTCTTCATTCCAACATCTATTCTATTCTATTCTATTCTATTCTATTCTATTCTATTCTATTCTGTTTTTCCAGAGTCCATTAACAACGTGACCTTCGGAGCCGGAGTCAGCCAAATTAGCTTGAACCTCACATCATCTTCTTGTAAAGGCAGGTGCAATTCCAATTTCGTTATTGCCTTTTTTTTTTTTTGGAAAAACTAAGCATGGGAAAAAAAGGCAACCTCACTATAATACCTCTTCTGTTCCTCCTGCAGTCAAAGAGGAGCCAGAAACCTCACAGGAACAGATCATTTGCTTGACCTCCCCAGATAAGTTGTGAGTATAAATGAAATTGTACGTGTCTTTTTGCACTGCCCTTCTTCCCCACGATCGGTGTGTGTGTGTGCGCCTAAGGGTGGGTTCCACTTTAAAAAGTAAAACTAAAAAGCCTTCCCCCATCTCATAATTCTTATTAGCCCCAATTTTATATTTCTTTTAGCTATGCGGTCATCTTATGCTAGTTTTAGAGTATAATAGGATTAGCACTTAAGATTTATTTACTGCTTTACAGCCCTCTCTAAGCGGTTTAAAGAGTCAGCCTATTGCCCCCAACAATCTGGGTCCTCATTTTACCCACCTCAGAAGGAGGGAAGGCTGAGTCAACCTTCCACGTTAAAATCCAACGTGTAGATTTCGTTTCAAGGAGAGAGAGGGAGATTCTAAGAGCCATAAATGGTGCAGTGGTCAGAGTGCAGTATTGCAGGCTACTTCTGCTGACTGCCGGCTGCCTGCAATTTGGTAGTTTGAATCTCACCAGGCTCAAGGTTGACTCAGCCTTCCGTCCTTCCGCAGTTGGTAAAATGAGGACCCAGCTTGTTGGGGGCAAGAGGCTGATTCTGTAAACCGCTTAGAAAGAGCTGTAAAGCACTGTGAAGCGGTATATAAGTGCTATTGCTATCTTCCTTCCTTCCTTCCTTCCTTCCTTCCTTCCTTCCTTCCTCCCTCCCTCCCTCCCTCCCTCCTTCCCTCCCTCCCTCCCTCCCTTCTTTCCTTCCTTTGCAATAGCAC